GCGTCTTACACGCCGATCCTGGGACCGAAGGTCTAGGACATTCAGCCCGTAGCTTACTGCGACTCTCCCTAGAGAGTGGCGTACGCATCCGAAGTGCGATATATCGGGCGATATGCTCAGGGGGTTCCCACTCAGCGGAACGAGGATGACGCAAGTCATCCGGATCAAACAGGGGGTTACCCTGCGGATCCAGAATCCCCGCGTCGCCACTCGCCCCCTGGGCAGCAACACCCCCGGCAGGGAAAGCGCCCCCAGTACGGGGTGCTACGGCAGGGGGAGCTCCCTCCTCCGAGCCGGCTTCTTCATCAGAAGCATAGTCTAGTTCCTCATACTCCTCCTCCTCACTCCGGTCGCTCTCCGACCTTTCATCACGGGATCTAGCCCGTTTCCACAACCTGGCCGTTTTTGCCCGACCAGAGGCTCTTTTGCGCGGTGGGAGCGCGCCATCTGTGACTGCCTCAGGCGAGTCCGTCAAGGCAGGTAAAACCTGCGTCATGGAGTGGGAGGAGAGATGTTTTGCCTTCACCTTGGCCTTACGGGCACCAGGTGGGGTAGGGATAGGAGTAGGGCCCGTACCCAGTAGGGCAGGGTTAGCCGCCTGGGGCAGCAAAAGAGACTGCGCCAGAGTCTGGGAAAAGGAGGAGGACATAGCCCCCATAGCAGAGGCGAGCGCTCTCTGGAGAGAGGACGCCATGGTGGAGTCCATCAGAGCCTGGAACTCCTCAGAGATGGCCTGACCCTCAGGCAGCTCCTGATGGAAGTCAGTAATGTGGCCCTCAGGACCATCACCCTTATCCTGCATGACTACAGGAAAGGGTTAAACAGGAGAAGTAGAAAATGACAATCAGATCTGAAAACAAAACGAAAACGGCATATAAGTATACAGAGGAAAAATGACAGGGATAGAATTAGGGTTTAATAACCCAAAAGGGACAGGAATAGGACAGGGCTAAAAACAGCCACAAGAGAACAGGAAAGAAACACAAGCACAATGAAAAATAAAATAAAATAAATTAAATCAAATAAAATTAATCAAACTTAAATAAACTGAAATAAAAAACTGCAAGATGTACATATAAAACCAGCAAAACTGAATAAAAATCCTACCCCACAGTGGTGTGTAACAGATGAGCACTGAAAGTCCTCAGGGGATGAAAGGCAAACCGGCAGGGGAGTGTGGCCGTCGGACACAAGATGGCCGCCACACGAGGGAGGAGAGGCAACCGACGAGAGCGGGGGAGGGGGCGCACGTGTATCCACAGCGCGGCCCGACCAACACACGCCCGGGAGCCGCCGCCGAGCTAAGCGGAGGCTCGCCGGCGTGTAAACACAAAATCCCCTGAGACATGGGAGACCCCGCGGCTAGCCGCAGAACGCGGCCGGGATGGGAGAGAGCGGGAGGCGGCACTGCCTAACGCGGCCGTGACGGCCCCCAGGAGAACACACCACAGGGGGGGAAGAAACAAGTAAAAGACACAGGCTCCAGCACCTAAGATATATAACCAGGAGCAGGAACCTCAAATAAAATAAACATGCAAAACACAGTACAGTGTAAAATCACAATATCAATATCAGAGCAGAAAAAGTTATGTACTTAACTGGTCTGAGAGCAGCAAAGAAAGAGGGGGATTGTGGGTGCTTCAAGTATTTTATAGTCACTTCCTCTTTTATGTGATTGGTTACTTGAACACTGTATTTTTTTGTTCTTTCAGTTATTTATTTATCTCTATTTCTTTGCTGCTGAGAGTAATAAAGAAAGAGATATGCATAATAGGAGCCTCCGTGTCTTTAATAAAATTACCTGCATTTGTATTGCCGGTATTACTGCAATACCGGCACGGCCAGGCAGCCTCAAATACCTTCTGTGCCATTAAAATACCAGTCAGGTGGCAAACCTAAGAGTAGTGTGTAAAAAAAATAAAAAATAAAAAAAAAAATTTTAAATTTTTAATGGGCCTATTCCATGGGCCTGGGCCTGGAGCTCCATCAGCCCATATGTTAATCTGGCCCTGACTGACCCTATAATCTCTATGCCCTATCTTTTAGAAGAAATATCTCTCTATAATAAGATCTCTAACTCTCTAGTGAACTTTACTAAAAGTGAGATTCTAGTCCTCAATATTAACCCTCACACTAAATCAACTCTGCAACAAGCATACCCATTTGCGTGGGCAGATGTTGCAGTAAAGTATCTTGGAGTCCAACTACCTAGAGACCTCCGTAAGCTGTACGATCTCAACTTCCCCCCTTACGACAAACAATCAAAAAAAAATTACCTTGCCCACTGGAAGAAGGCTATATTTGGGTGGCTATGCCGTACTAACATTCTAAAAATGAATACCCTGCCAAAGATTTTATACCTCTTACAAACACTTCCTATTCATGTTTCACATCCATTAGAGGTCTGTTTAACTCCTTCATCTGGGCACAAAAACACCCTGGACTACCCTTCAAAACATTACTGAGCCCAAAATCACTAGCATGTAGTAGGCTTCGATGTCTGGGAGGCATTAGTCTACTACTACTACCACCACCACTAGACTGTATGAGTGGAACTCTCCAATACCACAGACTCATGGGACATTACTGGAACTCCAGGGTTTCCAGATCCCCATCCATATAGTGCCATGGCACAAAAAAATAGGACCTTCCTCAAACCTACATACTCCACACACCCCACCTGACACACCCCACCATTATTCCAACCCTCAAAATATGGCAGACACTGCGAAAACTACCTACGATATCTCATTATCCCTCCCCACTCTATCCAGTCACACATAACCCGTTGATTCATCTGGGCACATCCATGACTTCCTTCCAAGACTATTATAACACCCCATAACTTACATTAGGTCAGATGACCACCCAGACAGGAATTCTCCCACTGAAACACAACTTGTCAAGATTACAGTATGATCCAGCACGTAGAATTCTGTAACACAGAGGACTGATAGGTAACGTATACCGGACCTTAGAATGGCCGGACTAACATACCAAAGAATAGTCAGGAATAGCCGAGGTCAAGGGATACTGAAAGAGACACAGTGATAAGGAAAAGCCAGGGGTCAGGGATGCCAGAAAACAGGGAAGTCAAAATCAATGTCAAAGTCAAAATACCAGAATCAATAACGCGTTCTCGGACAACCACAAGGGAAACCACAACAGGGCACTGAGCAGGATGAGAACTGGGCCTAAATACCCCTCCTCTGGATCTGATAGGCTGTAATCGGCCTTTGACCCCAAAGGCAGTTACCAGGTTTCCATTTGCATAATTGCTGCTCAGCACAAACCCTCCTGTGGATTTAATTGTCAGGACAGTAATGTTGCTTGGGATAAGTTTTCCTGTCAGAACAGTAAATGTCATTAATCACATTTTTATATGCGGATGAGTATGTGACACAACTCTCACCTGTGCTGCAATTCCGCCACTCACAAGTGAGACACATCCTAAACTCCACACCAGAATTACTACAGTGCTTCAGAGACCTGACACCTTTTGAAAACCTCTGCTCCAATCACCTCCTTAAAGCAAAACATTTATCCATACTATACAAATTTATCCAAAAGGACACATCACCGCTTCACCCTAAATACATGGCAGCATGGGAAGAGGAACTACACATCTCATTTTCCAACACCGAATATACACAGCTTTTCTCCAACATCTTTCACACCTCCGTCAGTAACTATACCCAAGAGGGCAACTACAAGAGAATAGCAAGATGGCACTACACCCCCTCACGCCTACACCATCTATTCCCTCAAACATCCGCACAATGCTGAAGATGCTAGCAGAAAAAAGGCACACCAGGCCACATATGGTGGTCATGCGAGGTGATACAACCCTACTGGAAGCATATACTGGCCATAATACAGGTCATCACTGGACAGCGTGTACAATGCAAGCCTAAAACAACCCTGTTCCTTTTACATCCCTCCCCACTCCCAATAAAAACATGAATCCTCACTGACCACCTCCTAACCCCTCCTAACATGGTGATTCCTCTACACTGGAAAAATGCATCAGCACCCACAATCAGAACTTGGATTCAGAAAGTTGAATCCATCCGAATCGTGGAGGAATTGCATTTCTTCTTGACACGTGCATACCCACGATACATCGCAATCTGGGAACCCTGGATCAAACTCCTGACACAAGAGACAACCACTTAAACACCCACGAATACCTCAGTGTGTGCATCCGAACCCCCGTATGCCCCATTAGGTCCCCCTGTTGGAGTAGGTGGTGTACCAACTTAGCACCAAGGGACATCAGCACTGGAATCGGGGAAGGGATTAAAGGTTTGTTTTTTTAACCCTTTATGAGACGGGGACGACACCAGCGGGCACTAGAGTGTTAGGAACACAACTCTGTATTCCTAATACTATAGAATCCCTTTTAGCAGGGGTGCCCAAAAGGTAGATCCTCAGATGTTGTAGAACTACAACTCCCATGATGCTTCACATGCCGTTGGTATGACAAAGCATCATGGAGACTGCAGTTTCAAAACATCTGGGGGTCTACCTTTTGGGCACCCCAAACTTTAAAGGAACGCTTCAAGCACCATTACTAGTACATTGCGCTTTACTGGTTATGGTGCCATTATCACCTGTGTAACCCTACAATGTGCAGTGTAAACTCCGAATTCTTGAGTACTGACAGGTTTATTTACTAACATGTAAATTCAAAGCTAGTTTTACATTTAAGGTAAATAGTTTAAATGGAATCTCTGTCAGCAATGCTTCCACTTAAGCTGCTCTGACCTAAAAATGTAAATTTGAATTCTCACTTTAGTAAATAACCCTGTCAGCCCTAAAATGTAAATGTAAGTGGTGAAGTTGAGGCTATAATAGCCATTAATATGAGGGTCTTAATGAATAATAAAAAGAAAAAAAGCACAAAAAACACCCTCAAATTTATTGGTTTATTATGAGACCTGGGAGCCCTGTACGTTTGTCACTAAACACGCGTTATAAGTAAAGTTATTCACGAAAAAAAAAAAACCAACGTCAAGGCGGAGACTGCAGCTTGTGACAGGTCGGCATTGCCTCCGGAAACAGTAGCTAAGGAAGTCAGGGAGCAGGAGGAGAGCAACGGAGAGCAGCCTTCCGCCTGTCACACAGTCACAGGCATGTCAGAGCCCGGGGTCCCGCCACATACCCCGAAACCGGCCGCCTGAGAGCGGGAACCCGGGGACAGGCCGACAGCGCGGACATTGCAGGCCCTGCAGGTGAGCGTGGGGCATGCTGGGTACTGACTGGCAGAGCCAGGGAGAGAGCTGGGGAGACATTATTGGCAGTGCCAGGGAGAGAGCCAGGCAGACATTACTGGCAGAGCCAGAGAGAGAGCCAGGGAGACATTACTGGCAGAGCCAGAGAGAGAGCCAGGGAGACATTACTGGCAGAGCCAGGGAGAGAGCTGGGGAGACATTACTGGCAGAGCCAGGGAGAGAGCTGGGGAGACATTACTGGCAGTGCCAGGGAGAGAGCCGGGCAGACATTACTGGCAGAGCCAGGGAGAGAGCCAGGCAGACATTACTGGCAGAGCCAGAGAGAGAGCTGGGGAGACATTACTGGCAGAGCCAGGGAGAGAGCCAGGCAGACATTACTGGCAGAGCCAGGGAGAGAGCCAGGCAGACATTACTGGCAGAGCCAGGGAGAGAGCCAGGCAGACATTACTGGCAGAGCCAGGGAGAGAGCCAGGCAGACATTACTGGCAGAGCCAGAGAGAGAGCCAGGGAGACATTACTGGCAGAGCCAGGGAGAGAGCCAGGCAGACATTACTGGCAGTGCCAGGGAGAGAGCCGGGCAGACATTACTGGCAGTGCCAGGCAGACATTACTGGCAGTGCCAGGCAGACATTACTGGCAGTGCCAGGCAGACATTACTGGCAGTGCCAGGCAGACATTACTGGCAGTGCCAGGCAGACATTACTGGCAGTGCCAGGCAGACATTACTGGCAGTGCCAGAGAGAGAGCCAGGGAGACATTACTGGCAGTGCCAGGGAGAGAGCCAGGCAGACATTACTGGCAGTGCCAGGGAGAGAGCCAGGCAGACATTACTGGCAGTGCCAGGGAGAGAGAGACAGGGAGACATTACTGGCAGTGCCAGGGAGAGAGCCAGGCACATTACTGGCAGTGCCAGGCAGAGAGAGCCAGGGAGACATTACTGGCAGTGCCAGGGAGAGAGCCAGGCAGACATTACTGGCAGTGCCAGGGAGAGAGCCAGGCAGACATTACTGGCAGTGCCAGGGAGAGAGCCAGGGAGACATTACTGGCAGTGCCAGGGAGAGAGCCAGGGAGACATTACTGGCAGTGCCAGTTACTGGCAGACATTACTGGCAGTGCCAGTTACTGGCAGACATTACTGGCAGTGCCAGGCAGACATTACTGGCAGTGCCAGAGACATTACTGGCAGTGCCAGGGAGACATTACTGGCATGACAGGCCGAGAGCTCTCTGTAACAGTGTAGAACCTGCGTTAGTTACTGCTTCCAGGGTTTGGGGTTTGGTAGATCGGTCAGGGTGGAGGCTGTTTACAGGACATCCCATGGGGGCAGTGCCAAGGGAGAGGCCTTGCAGGCCAAGGACTTGTAACACGGCCTGATCTCCTCTCTTACGACGCTGTAATGAAGGGGAAAAAACTCAACAAAACATGTTTATTGTTATTCATCAAATCTGTTCTAGGCATGAGGGACAATTTATTTTTTTTAAATCCGAGGAAAGGGAAATTAAGATGCAGTGCATTTGCCATGAAGGAGAGGGGTGTAAATTTCATTGCATTGATTGGGAGGATAGAGGTATAATTTCCAGAGCATTGCCAGTAAGGAGAGGGGAGTAATTTGCAGGGCATTGATGAGGGTGGGGTGAAGGGGAGTAATTTGCAGGGCATTGATGGGGGTGGGGTACAGGGGAGTAGTTTGCAGGGCATTGATGGGGGGGAGGGAGTAGTTTGCAGGGCATTGATGGGGGGGAGGGAGTAGTTTGCAGGGCATTGATGGGGGGGGAGGAGGGAGGTTTGGTGGGTAAGATGGGGGAGGAGAGTAGTTTGCAGGGTACTGATGGGGAGGAGGGACAGGCGGGGGCATTGATGGGGGGGGAGGAGGGGAGAAGTTTGCAGGGTACTGATGGGGAGGAGGAGTGGCAGGTGGTGGGCATTGATGGGGGAGGAGGGAGTATTTGCAGGGCATTGATGGGGGAGGAGGGAGTAGTTTGCAGGGCATTGATGGGGGGAGGAGGAGAAGTTTGCAGGGCATTGATGGGGGAGGAGGGAGTAGTTTGGTGGCAGGCATTGATGGGGAGGGAGTAGTTTGCAGGCATTGATGGGGAGGGAGAAGTTTGCAGGGCATTGATGGGGGGAGGGAGTAGCTTGGTAGGTTGATGGGGGGAGGAGGGAGTAGTTTGCAGGGCATTGATGGGGGAGGAGGGATAGTTTGCAGGCACATGGGGGAGGAGGGAGTAGTTTGCAGGCACATGGGGGAGGAGGGAGTAGTTTGCAGGCATTGATGGGAGGAGGGAGTAGTTTGCAGGGCATTGATGGGGGAGGAGGGAGTAGTTTGCAGGGCACTGATGGGGAGGAGGGAGTAGTTTGCAGGGCATTGATGGGGGAGGAGTAGTTTGCAGGCATTGATGTGGGGGGAGGAGGGAGTAGTTTGCAGGGCATTGATGGGGGGAGGGGGGAGTAGTTTGCAGGGCATTGATGGGGGGGAAGGGGGAGTAGTTTGCATTCGCCTCAGGGGGATGTAGTCTGCAGGAGCATTGCTACGGAGAAATAATTGTCACGGAGTGTGTACTGACAATGGGTTTATCAGGTTGTGCTGTTAAAGTAAAGCTGCCATTGCAGTTTTCCAACTGTCTGGCCTGACTCCTATTATACAATTAACTGTTTCTGCCAAACTGAAATCTCATATTTAAATGTATTTTCTTTTGTCTTTACCCCTGTCTCCTACTGAGAGCATAAATCATGTTTTCAGTGTGTGTTACTCTTTCTGTAACACACATCTCTCCTACATACCCTTGTTTGGGAAACATTCTTTGTTCGCATAACAGGTTAAAAGTTCCCAACGCTCTTTATGTTGGCATTGTGCAAATAAAACTTCTGTTATCTCTCTCTATTCTGTGTCCAATAAATTATTCTGGCTGTTTCTCTCCCCTCTCTATGCTGCTCTCACAAAAGATTGTCCCTTCTTCCATTTGCAGGCATTGCTTTCCTTTAGGCTGAATGTAATAATTAGAGATAAGACATACAGAGCACAGCCTCTTTATCTCTGTGCAGATGCATACAGGTTTGGCACAGACTGAACTAACTGAGAGGAGTTGTAAAGGGCTATTTTCTCCAGCTATTCTCTAACATTTGAGATTTAGTTGTATTTGTCATGACAGGTACCCTTTATAGAGAGAGGTTGGCAAAGGTAGATAACCTATAGCTCTCCTGCAGTTCTTTAGCAGTAGATTTGATTATGCTTTTCAATACACACAGGTGCTTTTCTCTTATTTAGGATTTTCATTAGGAATTATTGCTGAGACTTGAGTACTGTGGCAGGTGGAGAACTACTTGCTGTGATTAACTTACATCTTTAAGCTCTTTGACCTGAATTTGCAGACCAGACTTGGTAATATCAATACAAGAGAGAACATTATGCATAAAGTGTGAATGACCTGATGGCAGCTGTGGAGAGCTTGTTAGTATGATTATTTGTAATCAAATTGTGATGAACGTATATTGGAAGTTGTATATTTATACATTGACCTTGTTAGTAGTATTTAAAGATGAGATTGAAACCAAATAAGGTAATTGCTAATGAGTGCCCATACATCAGGCTTTTTATTATATTTATTTGCAGGAGAAAGGCATCTATTAGGGATAGGTTCCACCAATATTAGATCCCATATTTGGCATTTTTCCTATAATTGGTTTTGTAATTTTACTAATATTACCAATAACTAACCGCTCCCAGTCCCCCCCCCCCCCCCCCATGAGGCACAACCTCACTTTGCCCCTCCTTGTGAGTATCGGCATGCAGAGCTCAGCTGGAGGCAGGAAGGTGAGACCATGAATGATCTACTGTAACATACTGCCTGCTTGTCAGCAACTGTACTCCTACTATATTCAGCATGTTCAGTTAATCCTAGATTTATGTAGAAATTGTGGTAAATTAAAAAACAAAACACTTTAAATACAAAATATCAGCACTAGTTATTGGCAATCAGCCCAAAAGGTGACAGATAATCTGTATCAGCATGGGCTCTGGAAAAATATTAGTTGATCCCTTATATCTAAATAGGGACCTCCTATTTTAAAAATAAATAAATAAAAATGTTGAAGCCCCAGGATCACCATTTAAGTGGAACGTCACTTCTCTGGATATTACATAATTGAAACCTTGAAAATCGCTTATAAACCAGATGCACCGAAATGAAAATTCAGGATGCCCTTGTCCGAAAATGACTTTTTTTTTTTTCTCTCCAAATGATGTTAAAATGTTTTTTTTCTATAATTTTATTAATATTAGACTTTTTAATTAATCTAATATGAAAAACTACAAGCCAATAAAATAACCACACTTTTCTTGAAAGTAACCACACCAAAATTTGACAGAATATAACTTGTAACTAATGTAATCTAGCCTTATGTCAAGTAATGAACTCAAACAGCTCTAAGCTAGCATTATACAAGTACAAAAATTCTATACAAATTATAACAAACCGTATAAACGCTGAATATAAAAGCAGTGCTATAGAAGGAAAATACATGAAAACCATTAAGCTTACATAGGTTGGTATGCAGTCAGAATACCAAGTACTGTGAGTGTCTTACTGAATGTATCACTATACACAAAGGGCGGCTCTGCACACATGCAAGCAGTGCACTGTCCACAAGGTAAAGGAAAAATAAAAAAATATATTCTGCACATTAATGAATAACCCCCAATATGTTCATTGCTGTACACAGCCATATAATGAATTAAAAGGGAAGACGAGAAGGAGGTGGGTAGGGGCTCCCGCCGCCGCTCTCTTCTTCACGGTCAGCATGGAGGGATGTTGGTGTGGGGCACGGCAAGGGGAAGCCTCGGAAGGTGAATCCTGTGTGTGTGTGTCAATCTGTTAATTTTTGGCAGATTCGCCCCATTTTCGGCCTAAATTTCGATGCATCCATAAAAACTTTAAAGATTTAACAAGTGACATTAAAGAGACACTATATTAACCAAAACTACAGCTTGATGTAGTTGTTCTGGTGAGTATAGCCTGTCCCTGCAGGCTTTTTCATGTAAACACTGCCTTTCAGAGAAAAGGTGGTGTTTGCATTACAGCCTTGTAACACCTACAGTGGCCACTCCTCAGACTGCCACTCAAGGTGCTTCCTGGGTCAGTGCTTCAGTTTCCAGCACTGACGGTCAGCGTCTTCACCCTCTGCATAAAGACGCTGAACTTTCCTTATAGAGATCCATTGATTCAGTGCATCTCTATGAGGAGATGCTGATTGGCCAGGGCAATGTTTGGCCCCAAACCACCTCCTTGATGATCTCAGCCAATCCTATGCTGTTCTTATGGTAAAGCATTGGGTTGCCTGAGATAATCAATTCTGAGGTCAGCCAAGGAGGCACATCAGGGGCAGGGCCAGCAGCTGCAGACACAAGTGGCGCTGGAAATAAGGTACATTTTCTTACCTTTTTAGGTTGGGTTGGGCAAGGCACCTAAATGGTGGTTTTTAACACTACATGCTCAGGAATACACATTTGTGTTCCTTTAATTTAGGCACACAATGAAAGTGTGGACAGTGTAAACATTGTTATCTTTCTCCTCTACTTACTATACTCAATTGCAGAAAAGGGCAATATTTATAACAGAAAGGGATTACAGATAGGGGCATCTAGTTTAAGGTTAGATGTGTGAATTTCTTCCCCTTTATTTCAGATCTCACAATTTTTGCGATAAAGGATTGAAAAAAAACTCTACAGTAAATCATTATTCATTTGTCACTGGGGATCATGGTTGGCAAAAGTAGTGTTCGCTGAATAAGCTCACAATATTATCTGTCACTCCGTATTATCAGATTAAAAGGGAGCTGTCTCTTCTCAGAATTTTTCAAATAAATATTTATTTTCCTTCCTTATTTGTAAAGCTTTTCTGTCTTTGCCTTGTTCGAACTGGGTTATGTCATTTTCTAAATCTTTAAAGGAACACTATAGTCACCAGAACAACTACAGCTTATTGCTTTTTTTTCTGATGAGTAGAATCATTCCCTTCAGGCTTTTTGCTGTAAACACTGTCCTTTCAGAGTAAATGCAGTGTTTCCATTACAGCCTAGTGATAACTCTACTGGCCACTTCCTAGATGGCTGTTAGAGGTGCTTCCTATCTCAGTGCTGCAGAGTAAGTGGCACTGCCATTCAGAGTGTCCACTCTCTGCATGCAGACTTTCCTCAGAGTTGCATTGAGTTCATTCATCTCTATGAGGAGATGCTGTTTTGGCTTGTGCTGGCTCTGTCCCTGATCTGCCTCATTGACCGTTTCAGCCATTTCTATGGGGAAGCACTGTGATTGGCTCAGACTACCACTTCTGATGATGTCAACAGACAGAGGCAGAGCCAGGAGCTGCAGACTTGAATAAAAGTAAGAGTTTACTATATTTAGGGTGGCAATTGGGGGCATGGGGTTAGATGGGGGTTTTAACACTATAGGGTCAGAAATACATGTTAGTGTTCCTGACCCTATAGTGCATACATTTTAAAAGTAAATAAAGCATCCCATTTAAAAAATGCTTAACTAAAGCCACATATGTTTTCTTTAGTGTTTTATTCAATAATATAAATTCTTGGTGACAGTTCCCTTTTAAAGAGATACTATAGGCGTCAAAGCAACTTAGTGAAGCTGTTTTGGTGCATGTATCATGCCCCTGCAGTCCTACTGCTCAATGTGCTGCCATTTAGGAGAAAAATCACTTTTGTTTCTATCTCTGTCTGTCTTAGCCTGGCTGTGACCTCATGCAGCCTGCTTGAAAAAATGTTTAATTTTTAATCAGATGTTAACTTGTTTTAGAAGTTTGGATCTTTTGCATTGTACATTGAACTTTAATCGCCTGCAGGAGGCTCTAGAAGGTTATTCACACAGCAAGAGATAAAATTCCTAATTAAACAGACCGTGCAATAAAGCAATTTTAAACATTAGAGCTCTTTACAGGAAGTTAATGTGCAAGTCTAATACACGGCTGTATAAACAAAGTGATTTAACTCCTACATGTCAGAATTGAGCAGTAAGACTGCAGGGGCATGATCTATACACCATAACTGCTTCATTAAGCTAAAGTTATATTGGGAACTAGTGTCCCTTTAAAAGGTGAGGGGGTTATTTTTTATATACTGATAAATCTTTATTTGGAAGAATAACCAATCTCAATAAGGGGAGCAATTTGCAACGAATAGATGATTAAAGTTGGTCATGTGATCGGTAACCTGTAGGGGAAGAAGACATTCGTAGGATACAGGCACAATTCCTTCTTATAAAAACACAACACCAGTAAGTTCTTGATTTTTATTTTACTTGTGCTAAATACAGGAATAGTTATTTGCCTATTGCAAATGGACATAAAAATAAGTGCATATTGCACATATGGGTACAATTATTAGGATATTGTACATAAGTTGCACATTGCACATACATGCAAAATTTATAGCACAAGTTTTGTGTGCAAGGCTTTGTTCTCTTGTATATTAATGAAAGTGTAGATTGTGCAGCACTATCTGTATTTTTATAAATTATTATACTTTAGCAAACACCATAACTGCCTCATATCAGCTGGTGCTCTCAGACTTTCACTGCTGCCACTGTTGTCTAGTTTAATGTGACAGTGTTAGCTCAAATACAAGAGAGGGGCCAGACTTTTGGTGTCTATGGTCTCTCGTTTATTTATCGCCATTTATATAGCGCCAAAAGATTCCGTAGCGCTTTACAATATAATGGGGGGGGGGGAATTTAACCATAAATAGGACAATTACAAGAAAACTTACAGGAACAATAGGTTGAAGAGGACCCTGCTCAAACGAGCTTACAGTCTACAGGAGGTGGGGTATAAAACACATTAGGACAGGAAATGGCAATCAAATGAGGTGGGAGTGAAGCAGAGCTGGAGGAGAGAGCAAGAGACGGGTATGTAAAGTAGGTTACTCTGGGCGGCCATAAGCTTTTTCTAAAGAGATGGGTTTTAAGGCATTTCTTAAAGGATTGAAGACTAGGGGACAGTCTAATGGGGGTTGGCAGGCTATTGCATAGGAAGGGAGCCGCCCACGAGAAGTCCTGCAAGCACGAGTTGGCCGTATGGGTGCGAGCAGTGAACAGGAGAAGGTCATGGGCAGAGAGGAGGGACCGAAAAGGGGCATACCTATGGATCTGTGAAGAGATATGAGGGGCTAGAGTGTGACAATAATCCATGCTGGAAATTACTAGAGCATGGACAAGCTCCTTGGTAGAATCTTTCGTAAGAAAGGGGCGGATGCGGACTATGTTTTTAAGCTGGAATCTACAGGATTTGGCAACATACTAGATGTGAGGCTCAAAGGTGAGGCCAGAGTCAAGTATGACACCAAGACAGCGTACTTGCAAGGAAGGACTTATGTGGATACTACTAACTTGAAGGGAGAGCGACAGAGGAGGGTCAGTATTAGGAGGAGAAAAGACAAGCTCAGTTTTAGAGAGATTGAGTTTCAGAAAACGGGAGGACATCCAGTCAGAAATGGAAGAAAGGCAAGCAGTGACACGTTGCAGGACGGCAGGGGAGAGGTCTGGGGAGGAGACATGTATCTGGGTGTCATCAGCGTACAGGTGGTAGTGGAAGTAGTGGTAGTGGAATCCAAATGAGGTAATACGTTTTCCAAGAGAGGCAGTATAAAGAGAAAATTGAAGGGGACCAAGGACAGAGCCAGGGGACTCAAACCGAGACAGGAAGAGGGAAGAAGATATCCTTGGAAAAGAAGACACTGAATGAGCGTTGGGAGAGATAAGAGGAAAACATTGAGAGGACAGACTCACAGAGACCGAGCGATTGAAGAATTTGAAGGAGAGCATGATCAACGTTGTCAAAGGTAGCAGAGAGGTCAAGAAGAATTAGTATGGAGTAGTGACCTATGGATTTAGCTGTGATTAGGTCGTTGGTAACTGTGATAAGAGCAGTCTCTGTAGAGTGGAGAGGGCGGAAGCAAGATTGAAGAGGGTCAAGTAGAGAGTTGGAATTGAGGAAGCAAGACACACGGGTCAAGACATTAAACCAAGCCTGTCAAACACAGTTTAACATTTAACATATGAACTGAGCCAGGAGACTTATCTGCTACTCTCCCTTGTTGGCACCACCATCCATCTTCAGCTCCAGGAGACCTCATCTACATGGACCCCACCTACACTTGCATAGACTCTGGAATCCTACATTTGTGCATAAAGTTGCCAAAGACATCTGTTGAACACCAAGCAAAAAGAGGTCTTTTCTCCCATCAGCTATTTTAAAGGATCTGGCTCCATTATCCATTCGGCAGCACCAAAGCAGAGGATATGTTTGCTAGAGAAATATCACAGAAACTACAGGGAATGTGCTGTAGTTGCTGTGACAGAGAGCAAGAGAGCCGCCAGCTTCCTGCTAGGCTTTTCTTACTTTTGTCTGTCCCTTAATTAGAGGCAAAATCGTACTGTTGTGTGGGAAGGCACCATATATTGAAATAAGGTTGTTTTTAAATGACACAAAAATTATTATTTTTTTTTTTTTGATTTTGCAATACAGGCAAAGGATATAGAAGTAAAATTGGGGAGGGGTAAAGGGTTGTTACCACACATTAGTACATTTATTTTTACATTTAAGGAGGCACTGAACAACCTATTAAAAGTACCAGCTAAAAAAAAAGGGGGGTCCAAATTATAATCCTTACCTGTACCAGATCTCCATGTGTCCATCTCTGCCACTCCTAGTTGGTTTGTAAATTGTTGTATACTTGTTGGATATCAATTCATTCAAGGACAATGCGGGCAAAATTGGGGATTTCCATGCATTTGAGATATGGTGGTGTGCTGGTAATGATATTCTGAGGAGAATGCTAAAAGGAGATATGTTAACTGTGTAAAATGTACTGAGACCTACGACGTTACTAACTAATTGGTGAATGTTATTCCAATAAGATTAGTCGAGTTAAAGTCTCTTTTTACTTTCAGTTGGTAATGAATTTGCTCCAGCTCCTGTAGGTTGTATGTTTTGTAAGTTGCACAGCAGTTGCAAAGCTACTAGTTCGATTCCAGTGTAGCTAGTTACAGTACATATCTTTAAATTAGTTCCATTATTAGCATTTATATTGCGCCAAAATTTTCTGCTGTTTTTAAAAATTTTTTTACTATTTATTATAGAATGGAAATATTTGACAAGAGTTTGACGTATAAAATAACGATAGAGACCAGAACTGAGGAAGGCTTACAATCTATGACACTTAAAGTGGCACTACACTAGTAAAGTGTAACTTAATCTTTTATTACATCCAGTCATTAACACCAACCACACAGCATATGAACTTGGAGCCTCGGAGGATGTGATTTCCCTTGTGGTGTTGGGAGAACATAGAAAGCCCTAAAACTGGGCTTGACAAATTTGCTTAGTATCTAGGAGCCAGCTAAAAAAAGTTAGCAGCCAGGTTTTTTTTTTTCTTTTCTTTTCTTAATGTGATCGAAGGGGGCCAGTAACATAAACCGACACACTCAATGACATACTCACGCACACTCCTACTCAAACAACCACAAATTATAACTTAAAGGGACACCGTAGTCACTATAACCACTTTCTCTCTTTGAATTGGTTATAGTGCCTGGAGTGCCCTGGCACTGTCCCTCCATTCAGTGTTGCACCATGTTTGTGCAGTATGCCACAAAATAAGAGTCTCTGGCCACCCACAGCCCGGCCCCTTCTATATGTGTAGCTAAGGCAGAGATTACACACTTCCTTGTTGTCATACCCATTCATACCGTCAGTTGGAGCTCTGACAGGTTAAAAGCAGTCAGCTGACACTCTCAGCCAATCACAGCTGCCCATTGCTACTCAGGTTAATACTTCCTTATTAGCCAAAGCAGCACAGAGGGGATGGAGTGCCGGGGTCTCTTGTTTAGCATTAAAACATTACAACATTAAAAACTATTTAATGCTGAAAGAAATGATGGCACCAGGGGACTCCATTCATTATAACCAGTTTTATGAGATGAAGCAGATACAGTGCCTACAGTGTCCCTTTAAAAAATAAAATAAAAAAAATTATGTCCACCCAGCCTCCATACCTTTGGGAGAGCTGGAGTGCATCCTTTCCTTGAAGTCTAATGGAGCTTGTGTAATCTTCAAGTTCTGCTCCTGGCATGACAGCATGGCGTGCGAAGGAGCAGAGCAAGAACTTCAGGAAGGTTTTTGCTTCCCTGGGCTGAGAAACACCAAGGCACCTGGGATTTATAGAGTCCTGCACTAAAACATCCTCTGCTTCCAGAGAATACAGAAATCTTCCCCAACCAGCATAGAGACAAATTATCAGCACCTGATCCGATTTATGTGCTGCCATGATGACCTCACGCCTGGATATATATTAAAATATTTACATTCAATTTGACTGATATTCAGGTTTGTAATTAAATGTATTCTCAGTAAAGTACCACCCCAGTAAATCCCTTTCCCCCACCCATTAAGATAAGAGCAGTTTAAAACAGTGTGAAATTCTCTATGAATACGATTTTCAATTTGTCCTTGCAAGTGTCTGTGTATTTACCTGTAGAAATCCAATCCAACCTCATTGATGCAACATATATATTTCTAATCAGAACCTCTTGTCCATTTACTCAAGATACAGAAGACAGGGGACAGGTTCAGGTAAGCATAACTCTCCTTCCACTGCAACTGGAAAGACATCCAATTGCAAAATTACCATTGCGAGTTTACACCATTGCAAATTGTAAAAAGATCCCAGTCCATGACAAAGCTGCTTTAAAGGAACACTCTGGGCACCTTAACATATTCACCTGAATACTCCTAATTTTACCTTGGTCTGAGGCTTCAAACAGGAAGCTTTTGACAGTGAACGGCTGGCTCTCTCAGCCAGGTTATGAGTATTCTACAACTGTTTGAATCCTAAAGGAACACTATAGGGTCAGGAACAACCCACATTAACCCCATAAATATAGTAAAATCTTACTTTATTTGCATAATTGAATGAATGCATCTCTATGAGGAATGTTCAGCAACTCCATGCAGAGCGTAAAAAAACAAGATAGTTAAATAACGAATATGGGCTTTAAGTGCAGTTTCTCTTTTAATATGCAGGCCCCTGTTTTTCAAGGGACCAAAAGTAATTGGGGGGAGTTGTTTCATGGACATGTGTGGTCTATTCCTTCATTATTTATTCATCAAATATGCAGATAAAAAGCCTTTAGGTGATGCCAGGTGAGGCATTTGCATTTGAAAGTTGTTGCTGCATAACATGCAGTCAAAGGAGCTCTCAAAGCAAGTGAAGCAGGCCGTCGTGCAAAAAAAAAAAAAAAACCATTAGAGAAATGGTAGGAACAGTAGGAGTGGCTGAATAAACTGTTAGGTACGTTCTGAGGGGAAAAGAATGCACTGCTGAGCTCTGGAACACAAAAAGGCCTGGACTTCCACGGAAAACTACAGTGGGGGATGATTGTAGGATCCTTTTCATTAGGGATCGACCGATATTGATTTTTTTTTTTAGAGCCGATACCGATAATCTGTGAACTTTCAGGCCGGTATTCTGTACATTTACCATTTTGAAAAAATAAACTAATTCTAAAGGTAAAATCACAAAATATACATGCCACGTGTAGTGGATTAAGTGTGTTTAGATGGGAGCTGTGTGTGTTTGTGTAGTGGATGCAGTGTGTATTTGTGTAGTGTGTGTGTGTGTGTGTGTGTGTATATAATGAATGCAGAGTTTGTTTGTGTAGTGTGTGTGTTTCTGTAGTGTGTATAGTGAATGCAGAGTGTGTTTCTGTAGTGTGTATAGTGAATGCAGAATGTGTGTTTCTGTAGTGTGTGTGTATAGTGAATCCAGAATGTGTGTTTCTGTAGTGTGTGTATAGTGAATCCAGAATGTGTTTGTGTAGTGTGTGTATAGTGAATGCAGAATGTGTTTCTGTAGTGTGTATAGTGAATGCAGAATGTGTTTCTGTAGTGTGTGTATAGTGAATCCAGAATGTGTGTTTGTGTAGTGTGTGTGTATAGTGAATGCAGAATGTGTGTATAGTGAATGCAGAATGTGTGTATAGTGAATGCAGAATGTGTGTAGTGTGGGTAAAGTGAATGCAGAATGTGTGTAGTGTGTATGTAATGCAGTGTGTGTGTTTGTGTAGTGATGTAATTTGTGTAAAATGGGGGGGGGGCAGGGGCATTTTTTTATTTTAATTTTTTTTTTGTAATATTTAAATGGTTTTGTTTGTTTTTTAGTACCCCCTCCCTGCTTCTTACCAGAGAGGGGGGATATAGTATTCCCTAGTGGTCCGGTGGCTTGTTAAGTACTGGGGGGACCGCAGGAAGCTGTTTCTTACCTTTCTTGCAGCTCCCCAGTGCAAATCTTGTAGCCCTTAGTGCCGCGCGGAGCGTTGCCATGGTAACCCGTGACAACACTCTGCGATCACGGGTCTCGCGAGATTTGCACTGGGGAGCTGGAGGAGCTGCAAGAAAGGTAAGGAACAGCTTCCTGCCGGCCCCCCCAGGACCGCCGGGCTTGTAATGAGCCTGGCGGTATTATCGGCAATATCGATATCTATATTGGCCGATACCGATATTGCTGAAAATACAGAATATCGGCCGATAATATCGGTAAAACCGATAATCCGTCGATCCCTACTTTCCATGGTATAGAAAACCCCTTCACAACATCTGGCCAGGTGAAGAACACTCTCCAGGAGGTAGGCATTTCGTTATCCAAGTGTACCATAAGTAACATGGTAGCAAATAAAGTGATTTCGGAAGTGTCGTGTGGGGTTAATTTACCTTCCCTGAGGACCTCATGCTCTGTTTAATAGGTTAGTAAATTAATCATGACCTGTATTTTTCCTAAGATACAGATAGCAGGGACTGTCCTAGATTAATTCAAACCTATACTGTGCGAACACAGTAACTTTTATATTAATTCAGCAAGATAAGGTACATGCAGCAGTGTCTCAGTTTAATTCAGTAACGTCAGATACATGCAGCAGGAACATTTAATTTATATTACTTGCAGCAGTGTCTTTAAGATTAAAATAATAACAAAAGGCACATGCAGCAGTAAATCACTTAGATTAATTCTACAACACAAAGGACATGCAACAATGATGATCTCGATTAATTCTCTAACCTAGGGGTTCCCAATTAATTTTTCCTGTGGAACTCTTTGACCTAGTATATGAACGCTTTTGCATACATTTTTTTTAATTTTTTTATAATGTATTTATTTTTAATGTTCTGGTGTGTATCTGTGTGTACACACGCACTGGCACATAGTGGCTCACAGATACACACACCTTGACACAGTGTTTGTTTCAGTGTTTGTATGTGTCATTGTGTTAAGGCGTGTGTATCAGCATTTGTGACACACATACACACTTGCACACTAACAGGTACATTCACAGATATGTGTGTGTGTGTGTCTGTGTGTTAAGATGTGTATCTGAGTGTCAATGTGTGTATCTGTGTCACTGTATCTGTCGGGTTATCTGTGTGTGTATATATATGTGTGTACACACACACACACACTCAGGTATACATATTGACACACAGATACACACATTAACACTCAGATACACATCTTGATACGCACACAGGTTCACACACAGTGACAGGTGCACACCTTGAGACACACACACACCATACTGCTTATATTTGCAGTCCTGTAAGGTTACCTTTTATCTGCAGGAGGGTGACTTGGTTGATGTGGTGCTGCTGGTGGCTGGAGTGCTGCTCCTTCTCTCCCTTCCCCCTCGCCGTGCTCTGTGCTTGGGAGGAAGTGACACATTGTCACTTCCTCCAAGCATCCTACACTACTTTGGGCCAGATTGTGGTCTTAAGCGGCCATGGCCCCTGTTCAGCGATACCGATCGGGTGGCCCTAAGTGCTTGGGCCACACGATGGGAAAATTGCAGCGGAACACCTATTGAGAAACGCTACTCTGACCTAAAGTACATGCTGTAGTGTCTTTCTTAGATTAATTTATTAACATTACATTTTAAGATAAAAGTAATACTGAATAGATTAGAATAATTTAGTAACAATGGAAAGCCGAGATTTGGTTACAATTAATTTAGCTTTATGTTTAATGTATTGATTCAGGTCAAGAATACAAACTCTTCCTGGATCAACCCTAGTATTGTCATGTATAATATGTCATTTTTTTTCCACCCTTACATAAATTTAGTCACTGTTCAAATTGTAATGGTTTAAAAAAACAAACTTTTTTTTATTTATTTTTTTTTAGCTAAAATAGTCAGTCCTTCACCTCCGAGGTCATCAGACTTGATGACCTTTTTGTCCAATCAAATGCATTTCAGGGAGAAGCGTTGGGGGCTAACTGTATATGCATGGCAATTACTTACAAATTTCAGGCAAACAAAGGAAATCTCTAGGCACTCAAGGTGTTCAAGTTGCAGGCAGGTTTAATGGAACAAAAAAAGAGAGCAGCTACGTTTCGACCTGCTAAGAGGTCTTTGTCAAGCTTGACAAAGACCTCTTAGGTCAACGGTCGAAACGTTTTGCTAATTATTATTATATATTATATTTTATATATATATATATATATATATATATATATTTTTTTTTTTTTTTATTATTATTATTTTTTTTTAGACTTCCAGGGGTGCTTCTCTATATAAAAAAGTTGAAACACTGATCTAAATACATGACTGAGATCCCCTTGCAGTCCTACTCCTCCCGTTACTTTTAAAGGAACACTAGGCAAGCTAGCAATGTGCACTTTTTAAATTTGATCAATCAATTGGTTAGTGTGATGTTTACTATCTTTACACACTCCACACATTTACTCTGCCCAGCCCAACCTTTCCACAGTTACTCCAGCCACTCCAACCACACAACAGTTACTCAAGCCACTCCACCCAGTTACTCCGCCCACTCCAGTTGTAGACTACTGGTGGAGGCAAGAACACTTCACACAATTTCCCCAGAAATTGTAGCTTTTCTAGTTAACCTTAATCATTGGTTTTCTGCAGTAATGGTAGTGTTTTGTTTGCAGAGTTAACCTGCCTCTAGTGGCTGTCAGTATGACAGCCATTAGAGGCGCTTTTCTAAAATAGTAAAGTAAAACTCTATTTTAGTCAGATGGTTTCCTGGCGCTGTGTAGCACAGCATTTTGCTGCGCATTTGCACTAGCCTTCCAATGCTTTCCTATGGGAAGCCACTGGGTTGACTGAAATCATAAACATTGATAATCTCCACCAAAAAGCTGAAGCTTTTGCAAGGAGACTTGCAAGGGAGATTTGTGAACATTATGTAATTTAAATGTGCTTCTGCATTAATTACTCCTAACATGATTATCAAACATAAATTGTTTAAACTAATAACACATGAACAATTGGGTTGAGATAATATAGGTTGTGGCCTAGATATATAAAACCATAATGTCCGGGTCGTACTGAAGCTGAATGATGCAACAAGATAATGACACAAAAACACAAGACAACACATGAGAATATACACATGATGGGAGGAGATGTGTTCTAAAATGAACATAAACAACTCGAGAGGTGCGTGATAAGATGTATGCTATTCACACAATGAATCCTACAAATATCAATAAACTGAAACCGGTTTAGGAGGAACAGTTTGTTCCTTACTGATCAAGTAGTTTCTAAGTTCAAGAGTTCACATGCCTTTTCTCCAGTTTTGGCTTCTTAAACTGTTCAATATTAAAGGACCACCATAGGCACCCAGACCACTTCAGCTTAATGAAGTGGTCTGGGTGCCAGGTCCATCTAGGATTAACCCTGCCTGCTGTAAACATAGCTTCAGAGAAACTGCTATGTTTACTTTAGGGTTAATCTAGCCTATAGTGGCTGTCTCATTGACAGCCGCTAGAGGCGCTTTCACGCTTCTCACTGAGAAGACGCCAGCGTCCATAGGAAAGCATTGAGAATGCTTTCCTATGAGGCTGGCTGAATGCGCGCGCAGCTTTTGCCACGCATGCGCATTCAGCCGATGACGTCGGAAGGAGGAGGAGGGTCCCCAGCGCCGAGGGAGCCCGGCGCTGGAAAAAGGAAGGAATTTAACTCCTTCCTCCCCCTAGAGCCTGGCAGGAGTGGGACCCAGAGGGTGAGGGCGACCCAAGGACCCTATAGAGCCAGGAAACAGTATGTTTTCCTGACACTATAGTGGTCCTTAAACAAGAAGTGCTGGGGGCATATGTTTAGATTGTTGATCTGTTATTTTTATATGGTTGAGCAGGGGTTCCCAATTCATTTTTCCCGTGGAATCCTTTGACATAATGCGCTAACAACGTGGAACACCAAATAATTTTTGCCAACATAGCGCAGATAGTAAGCAGATATTATTACTTAGGAGCAGGTTTGCTTTTGTGTGTACAGTTGGTGTTTGTATATTATATTAGAGTTTTGATATAGGGGTGTGTTTGTATGTAATGTTTGCATTTGCTTGCAGAGGTGTGCTTGGATGTAGTGTTGGCTTTTAAATGTGGATGCACATTTGTGTGTAGTATTAAGGTTTGAGTGAAGGGTGTGTTTATATATATATATATATATATATATATATTTGAATCCAGGGGTTTTTGTATGTAATGTGTGTGTGTGTGTTTGCAGGAGTGTTTGATTGCTGGGATGTATGCACATATGATTGCTGTACGTATGCCATACATACACAAACAAATTCGCACACACACACATAAAAACATTGGCACAGACCGTGACACACAGATGCACAGTGACACATACACAGATACACTCAGACACACATTCTCTTTGACAGACATACATACACACTCTCAGTGACAAGCTTTTTGACCTAAAACTAGTAGTGAACAATTTGGCAAGTAACATTTTGGTTGAGCATTTAGACTAAAACAAATCCTCCCCTCAGCCGGTCGTCCAGGGAGTGACATCATTGCATGATTACTGGGCAGCTAGGAAAACTTTACTGTAGCAGTTACTGTGCTGCTGCCATCCACCAACTCTTCCCCCTGCTCCCACCCAGTAGCCTTGCTCCCCCCACCCTGATGCCATAAGAAGGGTTGTGATTGCTTGTTCCTTCTGTTTATTTATTTTTCAGCTAATTATGTCAATCTAACATGCATTATCAGGAAGCAAACAGCAGCATTTACAGGTTTTTTTTGTTTGTTTCCCCCCCTATTTTGTTTAATAAAATGGATGAATTTCTGTCAACAGTTTGGTCCTAGGAATGGCTGTGATGACTAGTGTATGCTTGACATACTTCTAACGCACATGCAAAACTGTATATTGGTTAGCATTATTATTGTGAGGTTATATGATTAGTTACCTAGCTAACATTGGACATCTGTGTCATGGCTTCACACATCTTTGCATTGTTATGTTTCCCTTTTGGTATAGGGTATTTCACCATGATTCTAAGCTTACATCCCCTGGAGAACCTGAAGGCCTATATTAGCAGCCGACCGCCGCTGGTGGTCTTTATGGTCAGCGTTAGTGGAATGGCCATAGCCTTCTTGACTCTGGGTTACTTCTTCAAGATGAAAGAAATCAAATCACCAGAGATGACAGAGGTATGTTTTAGAATTTGCATAACGAGAACACATTTTATTTTTAAAGTTAGACTTTGTGAATTTAAAGGAACACTATAGTCACCTAAATTACTTTAGCTAAATAAAGCAGTTTTAGTGTATAGATCATTCACCTGCAATTTCACAGCTCAATTCACTGTCATTTAGGAGTTAAATCACTTTGTTTCTGTTTATGCAGCCCTAGCCACATCTCCCCTGGATATGATTGACGGAGCCTGCATGAAAAAAAAACTGGTTTCACTTTCAAACAGATATAATTTACCTTAAATAATTGTATCTCAATCTCTAAATTGAACTTTAATCACATACAGGATTCTCTTGTAGGGTCTAGCAAGCTATTAACATAGCAGGGGATAAGAAAATCTTTATTAAACAGAACTTGCAATAAAGAAAGCCTAAATAGGGCTCTCTTTACAGGAAGTGTTTATGGAAGGCTGTGCAAGTCATATGCAGGGAGGTGTGACTAGGGTTCATAAACAAAGGGATTTAACTCCTAAATGGCAGAGGATTGAGCAGTGAGGCTGCAGGGGCATGTTCTATACACCAAAACTGCTTCATTAAGCTAAAGTTGTTCAGGTGACTATAGTGTCCCTTTAAGCAAATTTGGAAAGCAGCTAGGTTTGTTCTCTAAATTCTGAATTGATATCTTAACTGCAAATCTAAGCCAAAACAGATGATTAGGAAAAATGTAATGCTAAAGTGAGACTTGGATTTTTCTTATTGTTTTTGGATTAAAAAGGCAATCATCCATTAAACACGCCCATTTCTTTTTCCCAGGATATATATTTTAGAAAACACAGGTCTTCCGTTGATTCCCCTGCCCCCATATCTTTTCCTATTATTTATCATCATTTTCTATTTGTACTATGAGAACGAATGAAAGTTCAATTTGGATACACCAGAATTTTTATTTTCATTTTTATTTTGATTCTTTATTCTTTTATTTAATTTTTTTCCTCCTCTGAGTTCAGCCTTTTCTGTTCTCTCCTCTGCAACTGTATGCATCTGTTGTTTTTGAAGGTGCAAAATATGTAACACTGCACACTGAAAATAGAACCCTGCACTAATCAAGAGGCTTAAATACATCATGCAAACCACACTACAAATATTTGTTTTTTTCCATAAGTGAAATCACCCTTTTTTTTTTTTTTGCTCTGCATACTTAAGCACACCATGAACCCTATTCATGAAGATTAACCCCTTAAAGACACATGACATGTGTGACATGTCATGATTCCCTTTTATTCCAGAAGTTTGGTCCTTAAGGGGTTAAACCACACTTTAACACTTTTAAGAATCAGCTTTTGGAGATCGTGGCATCTGTTGTAATTTACAAGTGCCAGCCAGTGAAGCTTAAAGGAACTTGAAGCTAAAGTTTACCATGGGAAAAATAACTAATTGTACCCAAATACGTTTTATATTATTAAAAAAAAACCTTACATTTGAAGTTCCTGCTGGCTTTCCTCTTCTGCAATGAGCTGTCAATAATTCAGGAAGAGACTTAACCAATCATAATGGTAACTTAACTTTATAAGCGATGCTTTATGGACATACCTATGTTATCTGGCAGTTATAGTTCAGTTGTTGGCTTTTGGCTGTAAACCACAAACAATCATTAAATCATTTGCAGCAGTATTTTTGATGGAGAAAGAGACACACTGTCGGTTGTGAAGGAAGAGCCGATACAGTAAAAAAAATGATTTTTGTAAAAACACTAATGAAGATTAATGGGACACTATAGGCACCCAGACCACTTCAGCTCATTGAAGTGGTCGGGTGCACTGTCCCAGATCCCTTAAACCTGAGGAGGTAATTTATTGAAGGTTTTTAAGAAACTGCAATAATTACCTGCTAGGGTTAACTACACCTCTAGTAAAGGTCTACCAGACAGAGGGGGAAGCTAGAGCTCCAGGTAATTGAGTTTGTTTTTCTGGCACTATAGTTTCCCTTTAACTGTAACCCAGCAAGTTCGTTTGTGGAGTTGCACTTTAAATCTTACCAGTATTAAAAATTAATTGGTACAGGTTGATGGTATGGTTCGTTGGGAAAAACCTGTTTGAATGCTGTGTTTACCAGAGCAAACAAGATTTGTATTGTGATGACATTTCTTGCAACCTTTCTATTGCATGATTTGTGTTTGTCGTACAGGGTTTCCATCCAGTTCTAATACTATTCTTGGATATAAGAGCAAAAAGGCTTTTCTTTCTTTATTTAACATGGGCATGTTCGCTAAAGCGTAGCCACAAGACGGTGATTCATAAGAATTATAATCTGAATATTCTGTGAATACTTCTTTTGATCACCGACTCTGAAAGTAAGCTTGCCATTATTCTATGCAGACACGGTTACTCTTAATTTGCCTTGGTTCCTCTGAGTTTCTAAATTCCATGGGAAGTCACTGGTAACCTAAGGTCAGACCGTCTTTGTAAAAACGGTGCTCAATGACCTCAAAACCTAAAAGCTGCTTGACAATTGGTGAAATTGCAGCATTTCCCTGCTTGTATAATGATGTAAGTTTTCCTGGCTTAGTCTAGCTTGAGAAAAGTGAATTGAAGGCTTCTATTTTCAAGCTATTTATAGAATTATTTCCATCCCTAGTGAACCTTCCTAGGTCTTGTCTGGTAAAGAGAAACTGATTATAGAAGAATAGTTTTCATGTAAACATAGTTTGCTGCAAAATTATGTTCGAAGCCCTCTTGGGCAATGATGGTTTTTTACTCTCAGTCCAAATATTTCTGAACTTCATGTCCCATGATACTCTGCAAATATTAAGTTATATAATTTGTGAACATATGAGACAAGAGAAGCCAAGCCGTAAGACCTCACCAGGGTTTTCCATAACATTTTCTGGTTTTGTGCAAACTATGTGAAATACAAAGCAGAAAAATAAATCCAAATGCAGGCAAAAATCACAACATACCAACATCTATAATGAGGGGGTGGGGGCTAAAAAAAAAAAATCAAAAAAGAAATATGTTGTCATTTTTGTCAGCATTTGGATATGTTCTTCTGTTTTGTATTTCAAGTGATATTGCACTAAATAAATTAGCACTTTTTGTTTAGCTTTTCAGCTGAAGTGCGGTATGACTGTTGACTCAATTTCTCTTGGCATTTTACAGCTTAATGTAGTGGTTCTGGTGTCTGTAGCCTGTCCCTGCAGGCTTTTCAATTTAAACACTGCCTTTTCTCTTTCTATGAAAAGGCAGTGTTTACATTTCTGCATAGAAACACCTCTAGTGGCAGTTACTCAGACCACCACTAGAGGTGCTTCCTGTGTCAGTGCTGAACGCTCCCCATAGAGATACATTGATTCAGTTCATCCGTATACGTAAAGGCTGATTTGCGCAGTGTGTCGCCTTGCTGCACATGCGTAATAGCCTCCCAATGCTTTTGATGATCTCAGCCATGAATGCGGGGCCAGCCACAGCGAGACCAGCGAGGGAGAATAGGTAAGTAAAATCACCTTTTAAGTTGAAAGAAGGGGGCAGACACCTAAACAGTTTAACACTGTAGTGTTAGGAATACAGTTTTGTATTCCTGACACTATAGTGTTACTTTAAATAACACAATTGAGATACTAGTCATGCATGAGCCAGGAGATTATTATATAGATTTTTATTTTTTTATATATTGATTTTTTTTCTCTACAAATATGAGCAATTTCTGTATTAGTGTATATTCATTTTGTAAAATTAATAATTTATTTGTATAATCTCTTGTTTAGTGCAAATACATGTGGGGATTTTATTTTATTATTTTGACATTGGCTTCACGAAGCTGCTACATTGAACTAATTGTGCTCAATCCTTCCTGTTCAGGACTGGAACACTTTCCTCTTAAGGTTTAACAACCTGGATCTGTGTATATCTGAGAATGAAACTTTGAAGCATCTCCTCAATGATACTACCCCTCCTGAGAGTACAGTGACTACCGGCCAGGCGAGGTCATCCACTCAGACACCACAGGCATTAGAAGATTCTGGACCCATAAATATCTCTGTAGCCGTTACACTGACTTTGGATCCTTTAAAGCCCTTTGGAGGGTTATCTCGTAACGTAACACACCTGAGTTCCACAATTTTTGGCCACCAAATTGGTCTTTCAGGTATCCATGAAATGATGTTGCCAGCTTCCTTTTTCTTCATTGGCAAAAGCAAAAAGAGATGATTTAGTTTTAGTTGATGGGAATGAGAAAAGGGTTCCCCTCAATGTCTGGCTGGCTGAGCATGATGACATAAGGAGTGTGGAACAGCTGAACTCTAAAGGTTGTTTATTTTCTTTCCACACTGTAGTGTACGTGTTTCTGTAGTATATGGCTGCTGTGCTATTCGAACAATTGACCAAGAGCTATTTCCATAAATTCTCATCTCACCAAGCACACTGATTTTTTTTATACCAGAAAAATGCACACTGCATTGATTAATTACCCATTCATTTGCTTATTTTAATCCAGCGCCGGGCTCCCTCGGCACTGGTGACCTCTCCTCCTCCATCGACGTGAGCTCCCGAGTGGAACCGAATGCGCATGCGTGACCAGAGGAGCGCGAGCATTCAAACCCGCCCATAGGAAAGCATTACTCAGTGCTTTCTTATGGGGATCTTTTTTGACACTGGAGGTCCGCGAGGGCGTCCAGCGTCAAATAAGTGCGATTCACTCAGTTTAAATCGCGGAAGCACCTCTAGTGGCGGTCAGGAAGACAGCCACTAGTGGCTGGATTAACCCTGCAGTGTAAGAATAGCAGTTTCTATGAAACTGCTATGTTTTCAGCTGCAGGGTTATAACCAGGGGACCTGGCACCCAGACCACTTAATTGAGCTGAAGTGGTCTGGGTGCCTATAGTGGTCCTTTAAGTGAAAATAAAAGAATAAGCTGGAGTAGAGAAAGCCAAATGGCGGAAACAAAAAAAAAATAAAAAAAAAAATACTGAAAACTAAAAATGAATCTAAATAATATTTAACCTCTAAATCACCATGCTTTCTCTTACATAGAATTTCAGTATAAAACATTTTTTTTTTTTTTTTTACTTGTTTAAAATGTTGGCACTTTGTCATAGTGTCAGTTTGATCAGTGTTTTCTTTTCCCTTCTAAGGCAGAGACTCCCATGAGGAGATGAATATTACTTTCACTCTGCCAGCTGCATGGAACTCCGATGACTGTATACTCCATGGGCGCTGTGAGCAGGTGGGATTTACCACATGTATGACCGTAACGGCAGCGAGCAGCGTGTTTCCAGTTACACTGTAAGTAGCTCATAAACTGAAGCCAAATGTACATTTTATAGTTCAGCTGTCAATAAATTTAGTATACCTTTTTTTTTTCCCCTCTTCTCCCCTTAGTCAGCCGCCACATTGCATTCCTGAAACATACAGTAATGCCACTCTGTGGTACAAAATCTTCACCACCGCTCGTGACTCGAGGACAAAGTATGCACAAGATTATAACCCATTCTGGTGTTATAAGGGAGCCATTGGAAAAGTGTACCATACTTTAAATCCCAAACTCACAGTCATTGTTCCAGAGGTGAGATTCTTCTATTACAAATTAAGCTTTCCCTTTTACCATTCCTAATGAACATACATTTCTGAATATACTTTTCTTTTCTGCTTTCCTGCAATAGCAGGTTTCATTCTATTGTTAATTTGTATTGCCCGAGTCATACCCTTTTCTGTTCTCAATCTTCAAGCCTTTTCTTAAGTTCCTGCATCAATCATTTTACCCTTGTCAGTGATTAGAGTTTGTGGACTTCTCTCAAACTGTCAACACCACAGGGATGTCTGTGTGACAAAATTCTCAAGATTGCTTTATGAATATTCCCATCTGCCACATTAAACCCTTTTCCTGATCAAACATGGAAGCATTTCATTGTGGGCAAGCGCATACCCTCACAGCAGAGAAATTGGTATAATTTTATCCACACCCTCCCTATCAGCAGTCTTTTTTTAATGTATTTTTTTTTCCCTTTCCTTGACAGCAGTTTGGAAGGAGTCTGCCTAGATTTTATTGTTAAACCAGGCCAATATTTATGTAGGCCAAGCCAGGGCTCATGTTTGTAAGAGTTGTCGCCCCTTTTAGTGACCCAGGGGGTCTAACATAATTCTTTCCCTGAGGAGATGACAGTGGTCCACTGGAAATATGACGCTAAGCCAAACTCCCTGAAGACCCAGTAAACCACATGTCCATAAGGTACCTTGCTGTGCCTCTTTTTTGTATATACATTTTCCATTAGTGGTGACGACGAATGGCATATGGGGTTTATAAGGAAGCCCCTAGTTTAATCAGTTTAGTTTGTGAGTTGTTCAAATCCCTGTTTGCTTTTGATATACAGTACTTCATCTGTCTCCATGGCTGTTTAGTTTGTTATTCCTTTCTCAAGTTATTGCATTAGTAGTTTAGCTTACTTACTAGTATAAGTACCTGTTCGAAGGAAGCAACTAACAGAAGCTGAAAAAAAACTAACCAATAGGTCACATTTAAGAGGTTTTTGGTGAGCATTTAGGCAAGGTTATAAGAGTGCTCTAATGGATATACTGGCTGTGTCTGAATACCACAGTGCTAGAGGTTGAGAAGAGGGCAATACCCACAATAAGAGCTTTCCTGGGTCACTAATTTAAGTAATTCAAGAAGCCTGCTTATGTGCATTTTTTTGCACATAAGCAGTCTTCTTTCAGAGAAAGGAAAAGAATACATTTTCAGGATCGTCTTACTTATGTAAATCTGCGTATGAGACCAAGATCGCCTCTTTGTATAATCTGGTGTGAAGACAGTCTCCGTATATGTGATATGTGATATTCTCTCTGTGTATCAGATGGTGTGAAGCTCAGCTGTAGTATATATATCCATTATAAGATTTGTATGAGCTTGAGAGAAGATATGAACTTGGTATATTGCACGGTTGTCAAACCTTTTGCTTTCCTGGGCCGCATTGAGCGCAGAGGAATTGTCTTTGGCATATAACCTTTTCCTAAATTTGTTAGCCTTGTGTGGGGTTGATATATTTAAGCATTCCAACTTAGGGAGCTATCTCCTAAACACATACACATGTGTATACATATGCACTCACACACACAATCACAGACCCACATGGGGACACCCACACGGACGGACGGACGGACGGACACACATACATAAATGCAAGCAACATACATGCAATCACTGACTTACATACAGACCCCTCCATCTCTCCTCACTCTATACATCTATAAACACACACACTCACTGACAAAACATACACAAAAATTACATTCATACACATTTAGTACTTAAGAGGTCCACCCAGCCTCCCTACCTTGCTCTGGGAGGGCTGGAATGGATCCACTGTCCCTGGTGGCTAGCAGTTGGTGCCGGTCTGGGATCTCTGTGGTCTTCCTGCACAGGTCCCTCGTGCGCCCGGCAGTGATGCAGCGTGACTGCCGGGATGACGTCATATACCGGAGGCCGGCTCTCTTCAGGGCACACGAGGAGCTGTCCAGGAGGAGCAGAGAATGTAAAGGGCTCCCTGCCTCGACGCCAAGCAGGGTGGACGGCAACTGGGCCACACTGCTAGCGTTCCTGAACCACATGCGGGCCGCGGGTTAGACACCCCTGGTATATATGAATGATGGATGCTCTATGTATAAGTAGGTGTAAAGACACACCAGTACATGAGTCCAATATAATCTCTGGTGTGAAGACAAAAACTTAATTGTGTATATATCCAATACAAGTTCTGTGTATGAGATGCTGTTAAGTCACAGCATTCGTTTATCTGACGGATATTTTAATGTTTGAGCTAATGTGGCGCCGCACTTTATAACTGATATTGTATCTGTATAATCTCTTAACACACAGACTTGATATGTATGAATGATAGTCTCGCTCTCTCTATATATCTATATCTATCCCAATATCTGAAGTGCATGTTAAAGGGTACTTGTCATGACAAACACACCTTAAGATGTCCTAAAGGCATCTAAATGAAGGGGACTGGATGCCATGTCCCTGTCTGTTTTAAACCAGTAGTGTCAAAAATTGCCACTCTGCAGCATTTCTGGACAACATTTTAATCAGATGGTCTCATAGACACTTTCCCTTTCCTCTCAGTCAGTTCAGTCTATGCTGATCAGCACAGATAACAGACATGCAGAGCATGGTCTTATATCAGATAAACCTTCCTCTGGGTGTCTCACCTGCTTGAATTTAGCACAAGGCAAATTAATGCCTTCAAGGGAGGAGGGACAGGCTCGGTGAGAGAGCAGCACTGACAGAGGAGAGAAAAAGCCAGAATGATGTATTGCAGCAGCTTTGGACAGGCAATTTGAGAAGATAACATAAGTGTTATTTATTTTACACCAATTCATACATACAGTATATATCACACAGCCAACATAACGTTTTGGGGACTTTTAACCTGTTATTGGAAGCAAGTCTGTGTTTCCCAAACAGGGATTTTCAGTAGAGGGATGACTTGCAGCAAGTGTAACACAGACGGAAAACATGATTAATTGGTCTCGGCCGGAGACATGGTAATAAATTTAAAGTGTGAACTGTAAATAGTGTTAAAGGGACACTCCACTGCCTAAATACAAATAAAATAAATATCACAGTAGATATACCCAAATGTAAATGGGCATGCATTTTATTATGCATGTTTTTCATTGGGGTTATGCCTAAAAACGACTTGCTTTTGCAAGCCGTTTTTAGACATAACCCCAATGAAAAACATGTTCTTTTGTAACCAGGTTAATTTATAAAAGTTTCAATTTCTATTGATATCTGCATTTTTTGCAAAAGGAAAATAGGATACACTTCACACACAAAGCTTTTCAGCAAGCTAAAGTTCTTTAGGGGTCTGGAGTGTGCCTGTTATGGCAAAAAACTATTGTATAAAATGAGTCAAGTCAAGTGGCTAGAAAACCTTTTTACCTGTCATTATCAAGATTATATAATTCCCATATATTGAAGTTTCTTAAAGTAAACCTGTGTATTTGTTTTGTGTTTGAGTTGTGAAGCTAATTACAAAGACTGAATCTAATTACACCAATTTCCACAGTATATTTCTTGTCCTTTTTGCTGTGAGGGGACGATTAACCCATAAGTAAATGCTGCAAAGTATAATTATCAGGAAAAGAAAACTCCTGTGTGAAACGATTTTCCTTAATATGTTCTAACATTCTTTCCATTATTGTAAAATCCCCCTTTTACTCACTTCCTTTTCACAGCTCTTTTTTTTAACTTATTTATTTATTTAAAGGGCACTGTAAGCACCAAAACCACTACAGCTTAATATCGTGGTTTTGTAAACTGTGCCTTTACGTGTTGGTATTTCTAATGGTGGAGTGCTCCTTTTACCACTGCATCTGCATTTCTTAGAAGATTGGATATTCCCTTTAGTCATCTCGTCCAGCTTTAGAAAAGCAGGAACAGAGAGTTCTGTGTATATGGCTGCACTTGCAGTGTCTCAGATTCACAGAATTAGTTCCAGACAAACTAATGGAAAGCTAAATTCACCTTTCCTGGTTAAAGATTTTATTTGTGTTAGGCTTCTCATTCCCATGTTTACTCCTTGCTTTTCTGTTTGCTGTCCATCTGTCTTCCATACATACATGCATGTATGTTTATATCCATTTTTGTCCAAATTGTCATTTCCTCTGATATATTGAAATGGTTTATTTTATGTTTCATTTGCAATTATTCATTTTTCTCGGTAAATGCTAGTGAATTCTCTAAATCTCCGTGGTCACAACCAGCATATTTATCTTTGACTAGAGAAGCTTTTCAGTGTAGGCATGCCCAGTGAATTCCTAGAAGTGATAGCATTACATGCTAAGATTTTTAGATGCTGTTTTTTTTTTTTTTTTTCTTCCTTAACAGGATGACCGCTCCCTTATAAATCTGCATCTGATGGATACAAGTTACTTCCTGTTTGTGATGGTTATCACCATGTTCTGCTATGCTGTGATCAGAGGAAGACCAAGCAAAATAAGACAAAGCAACTCTGAGTTTTCTCCAGAAAAGGTTGGAAACTACCACTATAGGACTTAATTGTATTTTAAAGGGAAATCTGTGACCTGCATTATTTCCTCAGCTGTAGTTATTGTCTTGGTAGAAGTGATCATGTCACTTAAACAGAGCCGAAGACCAGTTAGGAAAATGGTTCAGAGTTGATTTGTGACTTCTGGGAACTAAATGGTTCATATAATCTATATTCAGGATATCTAACTATAGGACCTGCAGATAAAAAACAAAAAAACTGGCTGTGTATCACTGAGCAAAGTATTAGCCTGGAAATGTTGGGTTTCTGTAGCTGTACTTTAACACAGTCCGCTGCCACCTCCTCCTCCCACTTTCCCCCCTCAAAAAATGTCACTGTGTAAGGGGATTACATTAAAAAAAAATACATGTGTGCATTTGTTCACAAGTGCTTATGTATACAAACATAGTAACCAAGGTTAGAAAAAAGACTTGAGTTCAAGCTTCCACATTTTTGTTTCTGCAGTTTTTCCAAGAGAGGGTAAACAATCAAATTTGAACAGATTGCCAAACATGTTACAAACTGGAACAGTAGTAAATATGTTACTGCCTGGAGAAAAATTTACATCACAGCCATTCATGGTTGGCCTGCGAATATAGATCTATAATATTACTTTACTATAAAATTCACAAATACATTACTTTAATATCAGACAACTATATTTTATTCCGTAATAACACAAAAACTCATTTCTTTATGGTTCTTTGTTATAAGGTGTCATAGACACTGTTAAAAGATTTAAAGTGATCGAAAAACATTTTACCCAGTACACAACAGTAATGTATGCTTTATACCACCTATTTGATGTCCTTTTCTCTACCTTTGTATAGGTAACGATTTTCTTTAATGCTGCGGGTTTATTTTTGTTAAAAACTGTCCTGCAATATGCGGTTAATTGTAGAGTGGACCTTTCATGGGTTATTGCAGTGACTCGTAAGCTTTGTAATACTGGTCACTTGTCGATTTCATTCATTTTAAACCATTTTATACTTTTAATTAAGGAAAGTTACATTTTTGCAGAGATGGTAGTGAATACTAGCTTTTCACCTGCAAATTTCACTTCTGTCTCACTGCTTACAGAAATGACAGGGTATTATTTAAGATTCTGCACAGTGCAAACATATACTGCCTTGCATTTATGTTAGACAGGCATGCAGCAATAACATCACTTGCATTGGCTCTTGTGCTTGGATGTAATGGCATCAACACGCACATACGTGCCCTCAGTCAGTACAAAGGGATATAAAAAGGCTTTGCATTATTACACATGCGCAATGGATGCCAGGTCATCACAATAACATTTGAAACAGGAGAATGAATAGAGATGGGCTAATTTCCATTTAATTTGCCTCTGCAAAGTTTTAACTGGAACATTGATAAATGTTTTGAATGCTTAAACAAATAAATATTGCAGAAATGTATGTATTTAAGCCCCTAGTGACCAGGCCATTTTTCAATTTTCTTACCGTTAAGGACCAGGGCTGTTTTTTACATTTCTGCGGTGTTTTGTTTCTCTTAGTCACTTACTGTACCCACACATATTATTATATACCATTTTCACACCATTAAATGGTCTTTCTAAAGATACCGTTATTTTCATCATACCATATAATTTACTATAAAAAAAAAAAAAATTATAAAATCTGAAACACACTTTCTAACTTTGACCCCCAAAATCTTTTACGCATCTACAACCGGCAAAAAAAACACCCATGCTAAATAGTTTTTAAATTTTTGTCCTACGTTTAGAAATACCCAATGTTAACATGTTCTTAGCTATTTTTATTTTTTTGCAAGTTATAGGGAAATAAGTACAAGTAGTAGTTGCTAGTTCCAAAACTTTTTCCCCCCCAAAATTAACAAAAGTTACATTGTAACACCGATATCTGTCAGGAATCCCTGAATAACCCCTTTTTAAAAAAAAAAAAAAAAGACAACCTAAGGTATTAAGCTTGGGGTATTTTTACTCTTTTTATGCAATCATTTTACCACCAATCTATGCCAAATTTAAAAAAAATAAAAATAATTGGTGGTTTGTTTTTTATTTTATTTTTTGTAAATCTTGTTTATTGAGTCATAAATGTCAGCAAAAGTTAGGCTCGCTAGCCAGCAAAGGGTACAAAGTTAACAATATTAGTCATAAAGGGAAATCATCAAGCGTAAATGCAATATAATAACGGCGTAACAATTCACGCTAAGACCGTAAACTCTAATAACTGATCAGTGTATAAGTTCTGTGTTCCCTTTCCGTCTTTGGAAAGATGTAGGTGAGCTTTGCCCTAGAGTGATGTATCAGTGTATGTGAGTATGTGTGCGTGTGTGCGTGTGTACTCGCAGGATACAGCAACTCTTGGTGTTTACACAGCGAAAGGATGGGGCCTATCAGCCTCAGATATGATCTAGGGTGTCTAATAATAAATTGTCACAATATAAGGTATAGAGTAGGCTACCCAGTAGCGTATCAGAGTGGAAATGACCCACAAGTCCTGTTAATAACTCCATATTGGCTCAAGCGAGTGGAGATAGGGTGGTGAAGTACGAAATCCTTTCCGTCATGGTGACATGTACGTAACCTTTTCTGTTCCCTGGGGTGTGTGTTTGAGAAGCTTCTGCCTGTTTTAGGGTGCTTAGGTGCCCCTTTCTCCATAAATCATTATCTGAGCGCTTATCACTCCGAGGTCAGGATTCCTCTGCTCACTGCTTACTTGTGCATATACATGCTATATGTAGCCCATTTCTTGTACAAGGCGCCTACCTCTTCTCCGCGACAGGTACTTATAGCAGAGCTCGAGTATTGTACACGATTCACTACCCCCACCCTCACCCTGTGTTTAGCTAGTGCGTGTTGTCGTCAATGTTCTGCCGAGGGTAAGTGTCCCTGTTATGTCTACTTGTGGTGAGCGCATGTCAATCTTATTGTCGTGGGGTCAGTGTGGTGAATTAGGTCCCAGCTAGCCTGTCAAGCAGCCAGGTCAAGAAGGCTCCCTGACGATTGCACGGATGGTCAGGATCTACCGTCTTTTGTCAAGTCCTAGTCTTTGTGTCCCCGTCCGTTGACGTCGTCACTCAGTAGTCTAGTTATGTGTTGTCTGTCTGTCCTGTATTTGGTCCATCCGGCCCCGCTCCCGGGCACACCGGCCCCGATGATCTATAAGATGGAGGGGAAAGAGAAGGGATTAAGGGGAGAGGAGCATTGGTACCCGAACCGCGGTTCCCTAAGCATTCATCTCTTGCCGGTACCTGGCAATATATAAAAACCAGGGCGGGTTTGTTTTTTATTGACACACATAGCAATTTAAGAATACATGTACTGAGAACTTTAAGGGTTACTTCCAAAGAACACCTCCCGATATGTGTTCAGCAACATTTCCTGAGTACAGTGATACCACCCATGTATAGGTGTGTCTGGTTCGCTGGGGGCTAAAAGACCTTATTTGGAGGGTGCACATTCCAGTTTTCCAACGTGGAATTTTCTCAGCTGGTCATTACGCACCCATGTCCTATTTGGGACATTTTTGAAGCCTGCCAATGTAATTTACCCCCATCAAACGATATATTTTTGAAAAGTAGATACCCTAGGGTATTTCAAATGGTGGTATTTTAACACTTTCCATGTACTAATTCTACCACCAGTCTTTGTCAAATTTTGGGGTAGTCATTTTTTTGTTATTTTTCCTCTCACATTGTACTTTAGGCATGGATTCTCAGTTCCTGTTATGTGTTACTGACAAATACCCCAATATGTATTCATCAACATCTCCTGTGTACAACAGTACCCCCAATGTACAGGTTTTATGGGTTTTTGCAAACTTACAGGGGTCAAATGTAGGCCTTTCCCATGTTTGCAAATTGAAATTTGCCTGATTGCTTTGCTGGGCTTATGTTGCCTTTGAGACCGTATGGCAGCCCAGGAATGAAAATTAACCCAATTATATCATTTGTAAAAGGAGAAAACCTACGGTATTAAAAATGGGGTATGTCCAGTCTTTTTTAGTATCCACCTAGTCGCAAACCCTGGCCAAAATGAGTATTTATATTGTTTTTTGTTTTTTTTTGCATTTTTCACACACAAATTGCCATTTCACTGATGATATCAGCAGTATAATACATTTTACTGCTCTAAAACACTCATATTTGTGTAGAGTAATGTCTCATGAGCAAAACAGTACCTCTTAAGTACAGGTTTTATGGTAATTTGGAAATTACAGGGTCAAACATAAGATTTGCAAATTTCTGTTTTTGTAAATTGCTATTTGCCAGATTGGCTATGTTGCTTTGAGATGATATGGCAGCCCAGAAATTAAAATCAATATGTCAATATGTCATGGAAGGATTTTCCATGACATACCATTTGAAAAAGTAGACCACTCAGGGTATTCAAAATGGGATATGTCCAGTCTTTTGTAGTAGCCACTTTGCCACAAACGCTTGCCAATGTTAGCGTTCATATTTGTTTTTTGCATTTTTTACACCAATAACTGCACTTTTACTGGTGATATCGTTGTGAAAAGTTTTATTTTTTAAAACACTCATTTTTGTGTTCAGCAAAGTCTCCCAAGTATAACAATACTCCCATGTACAGGTTTTATGGTGTTTTTGAAAGTTACAGGGTCAGTATAGGGCATGCCCAATTCAGTTTGCCAGATTGGTTTGCTGGGTCTGTGTTGCCTTTTGAGACCATATGGTAGCCCAGGAATGTGAAATAACCTAATCATGGCATACCATTTTCAAATGTAGATGTCCAGTCTTTTGCCACTTAGTCACGATCGCTGACAAAAGTTAGCATTTTTTTTTTCCATTTAAAAAAACAAAACACTGCACTTTTACTGGTGATATCTTCATGATAAGTTTTACTTTTTAAAACACTCATATTTGTGTTCAGCAAAGTCTCCAGAGTATAACAATACCCCCCATGTAAAGGCTTTATGATGTTTTGGAAAGTTACAGAGTTAAATATGGGGCTTGCCAATTCAATTCTCTGCACTGTCTGCCTGAGTTGTCAGGCAGGTCCCTCAAATTATAACTAATAAAATCAAATAAGTATGTGTATGTGTGTATGTATGTATGTATGTATGTATGTATGTACACATACAGTCAGGTCCATAAATATTGGGACATCGACACAGTTCTAATCTTTTTGGCTCTATACACCACCACAATGGATTTGAAATGAACAAGATGTGATTTAACTGCAGACTTTGAGCTTTAATTTGAGTGTATTTACATCCAAATCAGCAAAGTCTCCAGAGTATAACAATACCCCCCATGTAAAGGCTTTATGATGTTTTGGAAAGTTACAGAGTTAAATATGGGGCTTGCCAATTCAATTCTCTGCACTGTCTGCCTGAGTTGTCAGGCAGGTCCCTCAAATTATAACTAATAAAATCAAATAAGTATGTGTATGTGTGTATGTATGTATGTATGTATGTACACATACAGTCAGGTCCATAAATATTGGGACATCGACACAGTTCTAATCTTTTTGGCTCTATACACCACCACAATGGATTTGAAATGAACAAGATGTGATTTAACTGCAGACTTTGAGCTTTAATTTGAGTGTATTTACATCCAAATCAGGTGAACGGTGTAGGAATTACAACAGTTTGTATATGTGCCTCCCACTTTTCAAGGGACCAAAAGTAATGGGACAATTGGCTGCTTAGCTGTTCCATGGCCAGGTGTGTGTTATTCCCTCATTATCCCATTTACAAGGAGCAGATAAAAGGTCCAGAGTTCATTTCAAGTGTGCTATTTGCATTTGGAATCTGTTGCTGTCAACTCTCAATATGAGATCCAAAGAGCTGTCACTATCAGTGAAGCAAGCCATCATTAGGCTGAAAAAACAAAACAAAGATCTCAGAGAGATAGAAAAAACATTAGGTGTGGCCAAATCAACTGTTTGGAACATCTTAAAAAGAAAGAACGCACCGGTGAGCTTAGCAACACCAAAAGACCCGGAAGACCACAGAAAACAACTGTGGTGGATGACCGAAGAATTCTTTCCCTGGTGAAGAAAACACCCTTCACAACAGTTGACCAGATCAAGAACACTCTCCTAGAGGTAGGTGTATGTGTGTCAAAGTGAACAATCAAGAGAAGACTTCACCAGAGTGAATACAGAGGGTTCACCACAAGATGTAAACCATTGGTGAGCCTCAAAAACAGGAAGGCCAGATTAGAGTTTGCGAAACATCATCTAAAAAAGCCTTCACAGTTCTGGAACAACATCCTATGGACAGATGAGACCAAGATCAACTTGTACCAGAGTTATGGGAAGAGAAGAGTATGGAGAAGGAAAGGAACTGCTCATGATCCAAAGCATGCCACCTCATCAGAGGCATGGTGGTGGTAATGTCATGGCATGGGCATGTATGGCTGCCAATGGAACTGGTTTTCTTGTATTTATTGATGATGTGACTGCTGACAAAAGCAGCAGGATGAATTCTGAAGTGTTTCAGGCAATATTATCTGCTCATATTCAGCCAAATGCTTCAGAACTCATTGGACGGCGCTTCACAGTGCAGATGGACAATGACCCGAAGCATACTGCAAAAGCAACCAATGAGTTTTTTAAGGGAAAGAAGTGGAATGTTATGCAATGGCCAAGTCAATCACCTGACCTGAATCCGATTGAGCATGCATTTCACTTGATGAAGACAAAACTGAAGGAAAAATGCCCCAAGAACAAGCAGGAACTGAAGACAGTTGCAGTAGAGGCCTGGCAGAGCATCACCAGGGATGAAACCCAGCGTCTGGTGATGTCTATGCGTTCCAGACTTCAGGCTGTAATTGACTGCAAAGGATTTGCAACCATGTATTAAAAAGTGAAAGTTTGATTTATGACTGTTAATCTGTCCCATTACTTTTGGTCCCTTAAAAATTGGGAGGCACATATACAAACTGTTGTATTCCTACACCGTTCACCTGATTTGGATGTAAATATCCTCAAATTAAAGTTGAAAGTCTGCAGTTAAAGCACATCTTGTTTGTTTCATTTCAAACCCATTGTGTTGGTGTATAAAGCCAAAAAGATCAGAATTGTGTCGATGTCCCAATATTTATGGACGTGACTGTGTATATATATTGTGTGTGTGTGTGTGTGTATGTATCTTAGCTTGACGTTTGCTTGAAGTACCTCATAAACTTGCATTTGTTTGAGACTTTCATGAAGTAATTCAGGATTTGTAAAATACTTAAAGGAACATGCCAATGGAGTACTTATACCACCAATGAAAACATCTATACTTATTTAACTGCACAATCCAGAACACATGAATGTTCATTTACCTCACAGGTGGAATTCTAAGGTTTTTTTATTTTTTGTCTTTACAGGTTGCACTGTCTGATGCATAACCTTCTCAACTCTATCTTGAATAGATGCAATTGGAGTCATAGCCTGTTGACCCCACCAAGAGAATGTGTCTTGTGTTCTTCTGAAGAGGAGAGAACACACAACCTTGCAACGTTGGTTCGATCCAACCAAAGACATTTCAAGTGCCTGTAATTGTTTTGTACATATTTATAAATAGGTACATTTAAAGAGGCTCGGTGCATACTTCCTGCATTGCAGGATCTTGTATTTTAATCCATTGTACCTGTGGACTAGCTGTCTTTTTCTTGTATAGATATGTCTAGTGGCTATGTCTAGTTGGCAATGAGGGTTGTCCATTCATGCGTGTGTAATGAAGATTGAAGCAATGTCTTTCACTTAATGTTTTGCGCAAAACTGCACTTTCTTGTACCTTGCTAAAATAAACCTAGCATCTGTTTGAATGAAGGGTAAACTGCTATAACTGAGGAGTCCTCTATTCTTGCAATGTGAAGCATTTTTATTTTAATTTTTTTCCCTTTAATCAAAATTTTGCTTTGGGGTCAGCACGATAAGAGTCAAGTAATACACATATCTTCCAAAGCATGTCATTTTGACAGAATTTCCATGCTAGTAGATCCACATACTAATGTGTTACACCTCTCAACATATGGGTATATTGGTTTAACCTTTTGTTTCAGATGAATGAGCATGGCATTGCACTCAAAATGTTAGATTAGAATATGTGGTGAGCTCCACAGTCTCCTATATTGTTTCCACAGTCACAACCTGCCACCTCTTTAGCTACTGAGATGGACAGGGGTACGTTTGGACTGTAGAAGTCCAAAATGACATCTTCAAGACCTGCACTCTTTACATCTATTTTGGGTACAATGGTAACACCAATCCTTTTTAAGAAAAAAAAAAAACCTAAAAGACTGTACAAAAGAAAAAGCTACTTATTGGATCTCTTGTGTTTATTACATATATTTTTGTATTTGTCAATAATCTGCCTAAGTTAATTTTTTGGAAGGCGATTACAGTGAGGTCTTAGGTTTAAGTGTTAGAACATACAATGCCATTAAACCGGCATTAACTCATTTTATATAAATGAGACATGAGGTTTTAAAAAAAACAACACAATTTTGTTTTGTTTGAATATTTTTTTTTGACTTTGAGTGGTTGGGGGAATTCTTCTGTTCTTTGATTGTGATCTTTATTTCTAGATTGGAGATTTGCCATAATTCAGCTGTTGCCCATTTCACAATTCAAATCAATACATGTAATTTAGTTTAAATAAATAACAGATCTATTTCTTGACAAAAAACAGCTGCTTCTATATCCTCCATATTTAGAATTATATTTTTAAATGTGGATTGCTAGAAACAATGTCATTCTGGTTTATATGGAATGCTTTTTGGCTTTCTAAATAAAGCTCTCCCTGGTACTGTGGCATTGGACTGTTGTGAAAAAGCAATGTATATAGATTTAGTGTATATAAACAAATGGATTTTCATATCCTGCATAAACATCTTTCAGCAATTGTGCACTGATATGAGACACAACGCCGCAAACTCTCTAAAAATGATCATAAATATGAGTTTGAAAACGTAAATGTAGATTTTAGTGCTTTTTACTAGCATTGTACAATTACAATAACTAACAAATATCAGACAGTAAAATCAGAGAGTGGAGAGTACTGTATGTAGAGGTAAAAATTCCCCCTCCCCCTTTCTACTCTTACAACCTCTGTTTTCAATACTTCTGTAAGGTTTAGTAAAATCCTCCTCCAGGAACATGATCCAAACCAAAACTGTAGTTTTCCATAGGCCTCTTAGTTAAAGTAGACCAAGACCTTCGAGTGGACAACACAGAAAAAATGGCCAGAAAACAAAGTTGCTGTTTGTAGGAAGGAAGCAAACTGGTCAATAACTATGAGGCAGCTACATTAGCCTCATACATTTAAAATGTGTCGAACACTGTAAAATGTAATTAACCAAAAAAAAGAAAATTGGGTTAAGTACAACTTATATCTTTTGTCCAACACGGATGTTGATTCCTTTTTATGCTCTTTCATCACCAGGAAAGCATTTGGTTGGAGAGGAAATATGACATTTCCATCAGGAATCTTGGTGAATGGATGGGCTGATTAAAATATAGAATAGCTACATAAAAAGCTACCAGTCTTTCCTCCACAGTATTTTTTTCATAAAAAAAAACAAAAAAAAACATGCAGCTAGCCCTGTCGCTGTATTATTGCTTAAGATGTTTTCTACACCACACTCATAATTTCTCTGGCAATTATTGCTTAGAGAAAGTTAGCAGTATTGCTACATCTTTCTGTCACCTTCCAGCTGTCAGATATAAAATGGCCTATTGGTGTTGCTCAGCCCATTACTGGCCACCCAATACTAGTAATTATAGACACATTTAACCTGTACTCTTGATGGTAGTCAGTGATAGGTTCAGAGTGATGAAGTGATTATGAGCGTGTTCCTTTTAAGGGACTGTAAAAGGCACCCAGACCCATATATCTCAATGATGTTGTCAGGGTGCAGTGGACCTTCATTTTAACTGCAATGTAAAACATTGCCTTTTTTGTAGAAACAACAATTTTTTTTTCAACTGCTGGGTTAAACACACTTCTCTAGTGGCTGTTTTCCCATGAGAACAACAATCACTCATTCTCTGTTTCTATTAAGATGTAGTAGTTTTGTTATTTAGAGTGTCCCTTAAAAATCTTTTGACACTTAAACAGATACTATAGGCACCAAAATAACTTAAACTTAATGAAGCAGTTTTGGTGTATTGATCATGCCTCTGCAATCTCCCTGCTCAACTTACTGTCATTAAATTGTTTATACAGCACTAGTCAATCCTCCCTGCTGGTGACTTGCACAGCCTTCTTTACACTTCGTGTAAGGGAAGCTAGACTTGATAGGTTCGCTTCTTGCACAGTCTGTTTAAACTAGATTTTCTGATCTCCTCTGTTTATGGCCTACAGGAGCCTCTTGTGTGTGATTAAACCTAAATTACAGAGCTGGAAATAAAAACTTGTAAAATTGACAGGAACGCGGCCGGCCCCCAGGAGCCGCGGCCCACCGGGAAATTTCCCGGTATCCCGGTGGGCCAGTCCGGCCCTGTTTAGCTCCTAAATGGTAGAAAATTGAGTGAGATTGCAGGGTCTTTATCCTATAAACTGCTTAATTACGTAAAAGTTGTTTTGACGCCTATAGTTTAAATGAAGGCTTGATTAAGACCCTTGAAGTGGAAACGTTGACAGACAGGGTCTTTATTGATGGTTGTATAAAATTTACAGAAATACTGGAGCTACTGTTCTTTTACACACAGTCCATGAACTAAGTTTATGCAGTATGCACTATATGGACAAAATTCATATAAAATGTTAAAACTTCCCAAATTACCATCACCCTAATGGACTGCTCTGCCTTTCAGCAGATATATATATATATAGTTTAGTTTTATCTCTAAGTGATATGTACAATGCAACCCTGATATAATTCTCTCTCCTCCTCCTCTCTCTCTCATAGCTGAATTGGGAAACTTTCTCCACGTCCGCTATGCTTACAATTAAGCAATTTTTGCCTTAAATTAATCATTTGCATTAAAGACCTGGCAATTTTCAGTTGAGTGAATATCCCTTTAAATGCCACACTTGGAAATTAGAATGGACTCTGGGTGCTCAAGGCAACATGCACTTTGCATTTATTCAAATTCGTTTAGCCATAACTCTTTAAGTAAGTCCAGGATTCACAGCGTGGCTAGATAATACATAACCACCTTCCCCCCCACCCCCCCAATCAAGAAATACATTTTTCAACTTTATATTGCAGTTTGGATCTAAATGTACTTTTGTGAAGATAATGTATCCTCTCTTATATTATAACTCAAATATTCCACTAGATGTCAGCAAAGTTGTCTCGTTCCTAGATTTCAGATCATTTGTATGTTCCGTATAATCATATTCAATGGAATATTTCCAATAAATTATACAACATAAAATGTTTAAAAAAAAAAAAAAAAAAAAGAGCGCACACATTCGTATTCACAAATCTGGTGACCATTATTAGTACCTTATAGCATTTATTACATATATTCTGCAGCACTGTACAACTGGGGAAAAAGATGCAATATACATGGATCAACAGATAGATAAAACTTAAACCAGGTTAGAAAGTGTTTGGGTTGTTCCTTCAAGATTTCGATTTGGAGCAGCCTTCACATTCCACAGATTTGAATACTGTGGAATATTGGGCTGATTTCAAATATACAGTTTATTAGTCCACCCATTGTACAGCGCTATGGAATTTGATGGAGCTATATAAATAATAATAATGAGGCATCACCTAAGAATATTTCTGAACTAGAAGTATTTTCTAAATAAAAAAGGAGGAAATTCCTTAAGCAAGAAAAGAATGATGGCAACATGCTACAGCAATCAACCAGAGACACTGATTATTGTCAAAGGGGATGTACTAACTTACAGGTACACAAGGTTTAGTATTTAACATTTACTTTTAGTTTTCCAATCCATTAAATTTAGCACAAAAACCAGGCAGAATATGTATAGTTCAAGTTTGTAAGGGAACCTCCTTTCCTTAGAAAATCTAAATTTTATCAGACGTGCCAAACCTTTGCAAACAACTGTATTTTACTTCATATAGTTACCTATGCATGTCACAGGTCATGTATTCCACATGTAAGTGGTATAGCAGGCAACTGAGATTAATTTTTGGAACCCATCTCAGTGGAAACATATGTGATCTTCCAGTAAGTCTAAGTTTTGCTAACATTTTTACCAACTCACTCTATTGATTGCATATATACCAGTTTGCAAATAACATTTGATTTGTTGAGTAAAGTAATCAGGACCTGCTCCCTCTAGAGGAAGGAGACAGAACTTCAATTGCACTTCTGTAATGGTCTCAGTCCTCAAAAACCTCTCACTACGCATACTGTTTTTGGAAATAATACCAAAATAAGTATATGTGTAGGCACTCGAAATGTTGATTTTAAAAAAAACACATTAAAGATAACATATAAATCATATATATACAATGCATAAGGTGAATCGATACAAAGAAGCAGTTTAATGTAAAAAAATGTCTAAGGAACATGTGTGTTAGATCTATCTTTGATAATGATAGTGCTTGTAACTTGATAGACAAGTCCCAGTTTGACTCCATATATATCAGTGCCTAGAAATTAGGTGTTATTCTCTTTAAAAAAAAAAAAAAAAAAAACAACCACTGTCCAACCAGGATAGTCAGTTTATGAAATTTATACCCAGGGATGTGAGATGTGCTGCAGGGCCAGTGTAGTGTATAAGCACTCCAAAAATGGGAAACCACAAAGAGGTGAAGAAAAGCGAGTTTTGTCAAATTAATCCAATTTAGTGTTCTAGCAAAAGCATTTAAAATGAATAAACAATTTTAAAAACTCAATATCAATGTAGGAACAATAAGGCATCCGGGAGAGATTTAAAAAAAAAAAAAATGTATGGGGCATGTTTAGTGAATATGGTTTGTCTCCACAGGTGAGTAAGTCAACCCAAGATGCGATTCGTACCAATCGTGCTTCCTGCAGGCAAGATGAGCTTGCTGTGCACCCAGCCTGAATATATATATATCTATATATATATATATATATATATATATATATATCAAGTCCTTTATCATTGGCTGCTGTTGAAAACCTGATGTGCATACAAAATGAGGCAGATTGTGATTGCACAAAATTGATATAACTGGTTTCTAGGTGTGCACATATAACAGACAGAATCTCATTATAAGCAAATCACCTAGTCAAATAAAAATCACTTGGCAACAAAGGTGAAATAACTTGTGAAAATACAATGTATAATAGTAAAACATAATCCAACAAATATATCAGGGTTGCATTGTACATATCACTTAGAGATAAAACTAAACTAATACAAATACCTGCTCTATATAGAAAACATACACCAATATAAAACAAGAAGTTCATGATTCCTTCAAGTACCAGCTCAAAATCAAACACATAATAAAGAGAAACAAAGTGAAATTGGCAGCACTATTCATGTAAGTATTGAATAAAACCAAATAATATAATGAACATGTTGAAGACCAGCACTATTTATAAAAAAATTAAATTAATGAGCTATGAATACAGACAACTTTTAAAGGCATAGCAGTCATAACAAAAAAATCATTTATTCCTACGAAGGGCAGCAATATTCAAGTAAAAAGCAACAGGTGAAATGCGTGTACGATCCCTATTCAAATAAGGAGCAAAAAAAGGCAGAAATCTTCATGTAAAAAAAAAAACATTTTATGAAGAGCAACAATATTCATGTAAAAAGCAAAATGCTTACTGGTAAACTATGTCTTTGATCACTGTTCAAATAAGGAACAAATAAAGGACAATCTTCATGTAAAAAACAGAGGCTTCCTTTTCATATTCTGCTATTAAGCGAAGCTACCAAGAAAGTCCTATACCAGGACTAGAAGATCTATTGCCACCTTTGAGACTGTGCCGTACCATTTGGTATTTTATATTCTTTCAAGTTTTATTGTGGACTCTTTTTATATTCTGTGGGGTTTTTATTGCTCTTATTATATACTATTGTGTTTGGAGTATTTGTCTTGATGATACCTATGTATTGTTGTTTGACTTGTTTTAGTTTTCTTGGGGGTTGGAGGGATTCCCCTATTATCAGGTGTGCTGCCTCCCATCCTAGACAAAATCCAGCCCAAATTTGTGCTCTGGATCTGCCCATGGCTCATTTGTTTGAGAAGGGCTTGTGGCGGCAGTGATTTGTAAAGTCTTCCAGAGAAGAGCTGAATTCGATTTCAGTAGAGGCTTATCTTAGAAATTCTTTAGGAAGTTAGCTAAAATGATATAGAAATCATTGAAAATGTGTGTTGGTTTCCATTAAAAGAAAAGACATAAGTTTTAAATAACTATTTTTCTTCAGTATATATTAATGAGGATCCTATGGCAAGAGATATGCAAATGATTGCTGCAAAAAACTTGCAGATAGCTTGTGATTGGATGACTCAAGACAAGGTGCTGCAGCAGTCAAAGAAACTTTATTTAAATAAAGCTCTGGGGCCTGATGTTATTCACCCACGAGTACTTAAGGAGCTAAGTGTGGAAATAAGTGAACCTCTGTATTTAATCTTTCAAGATTCTTTTTTTTTCCTGAATTGTACCGGAGGATTGGAGGAAGGCAGATGTCGTTCCTATATTTAAAAGGGTTCAAAATCCTTGCCTGGAAATTATAGACATAACTGGGAAAGTATTTGAAGGGCTATTAAGGGATAATATTCAGGAATTCATTGGGAAGAACTTTATTAGCAATAATCAGCATGGTGTTATAAAACATAGGTAAATAGAAGTATAAATCAGGGTGTTGCAGTGGATGTGATCTACTTGGATTTTGCCAAGGCATTTGATATGGTTCCTCACAATAGGTTAGTGTTCAAAGTAAAAGAAATTGGTCTAGCTGAATATTTTTGTTCTTGGGTAGAACATTGGATAGAGTACAGCGAGTTGTCATCAATGCTAAATTTTCAAGCTGGACAAAAGTGGTAAGTGGTGTCCCTCAGAGTTCTGTTTTGGGACCGCTTCTATTTAACATATTTATAAATGATCTTGAAATAGGCATTGAAAGCCATGTCTTAGAGTTTGCAGATGACACAAAACTTTGTAAAGTAATAAAATGTGCGCAGGATATTGCTTTGCTGTAGAGGAATTTAGATGGATTGGGGGACTGGGCACTAAAATGGCAGATGAAATTTAATGTAAAGAAATGCAAAGTTATGCACTTCGGAGTCAAGAATGCACATTGCACAAGCAACTTACACCCTAAATGGTAGTGAACTAGGGATAACCACACATGATAAGGATTTGGGAATTGTTATAGACAACAAATTAGGCAGCAATATGCAATGTCAATCTGCAGTTGCTAAGGCCAGTAAGGTTTTGTCATGTATAAATAAGGTCATAAATTCTCAGGATGAAAATATAATTTTGCCTCTTTAGAAATCGCTGGTAAGACCACACCTTGAATATTTTGGGCACCTGTTCTAAAGAAGGATATCATGGCACTAGAAAAAGTGCAGAGACAAGCTACAAAATTTATAAAAGGAATGGAGCATTTTAGTTATGAAGAAAGGTTAAAAAATTTAAATCTCTTTAGTTTGGAAAAACAGTGCCTCAGAGGGGATATGATAACATTATACAAATATATTTGGGGCCAGTACAAACCATTATCTGGAAATCTATTCATAAACAGGGCTATACATAGGACACGAGGTCACGTACTTAGGATGGAAGAAAGGAGATTTAATCTAAGGCAAATAATTTTTTTTTTTACAGTAAGAGCAATAAGGATATGGAATTCTCTGCCTGAACAGGTGGTTTTTATCAGAGTCCATGCAGATGTTTAAACAGCAATTGGATAAATACTTGCAAAAACATAACATACAGGGATATAATTTCTAATTAGTGGGGTAATAGCTGCTTGATCCAAGGAGATATCAGACTGCCATTTTGGTGTCAAAAAGGAATTTTTTCCTAGTTTGTTGCAAAATTGGAAGCGCTTCAGACAGGGTTTTTTTGCCTTCTTTTGGATCAACAGCAAAAATATATGTGAGGAAGGCTGAACTTGATGGACGCAAGTCTCTTTTCAGCTATGAACTATGTAATTAAAAAATACTTGAGCAACGCATGCATGTAATGAGCAAACTGCAAATTAGATCACAGTTAGTTATGCTGCATGCATTTAACCTTATTTCATTTAATTATAATAACTAATTATTTTTGTAGCGGACCATGGGAACCCGACTGGTTACCTCCGCTATTACCTTCCTTCAGCCACTCTGGAACCATCAGCACAAGTAAATACTAATTTCCCCAGTAACCAGACGAAACATAGTCCTGGGAGTCAACTGAGGTTTATTTGGTCACACATGGCTTTTATGCACAGACCCCTACATGGGGTCTCCCATACAATAATACAAGGCTTTTCTTCGCAGGATCCTCTACAGAAAATTATACATATTCTAAAACACTCCAAAAATACATTTTCAAAAGGGCTAATTGGATTGCATAAGAGGTCAGAGCTTACAACCCAAATTTTTCTTTGAAGCTGGGACCCCAACAGAGCCACTCTGCAAGGTGTGAGAAGTCACACACAAGTGGCCTGGAATTTTGTCTTTAGTATAAACTAACTCTCTCACTTGCCATATGTCCTGATTCCCTCCTAGATAAGGAGTCATTTGATATGGACAAGTCCAGTGTTCCAATATCATATACAAATGGAGACACCAATACCCACCCACAGATCAATACTCAAGCCTAATTTTTTATCATTTATCAGTAGCACAATCTTCTACTGACAACAATATGGGTACAGATATTAAGTGAGCGCTTATGCAATGAGTAGTACTCTAACACCTAGGTGGGGTCCCCTTAACCATCACCAATAATTGAAATCACAAATATATACAAGGTGGAATATCTTACATGCGCATTCAGAGGTGTGTGTGTTGTGTTTCTTATAGGTAACTTTAATTGCTTTTAAAATTAATTGCAATTAAAGTTACCTATAAGAAGCACAACTCACAGGACTGAAGGACAGCAACTGAAGAAGCCTCCAGGAGAGGCGAAACACGTTTTGCAACATACTTCTACAATATTAAGGACTTACCAGTACCAACTGTAAGGTTTTTAATTTTATTTGTATTTTACTAAGATTAACTCTTTGTGCACTTTATTTGAATAAAGCACCTTTTGAACCTTCACTACAAATCTGTGACTGCAATCAAAAGAGTGGAAGCTAATCTAATATACAGAGAAGGGAGTGGGACCCTCTACATCCCACAAAGCTGAAAGTCTGAGCCTAATAGTTATTGGCTCCACGCTTGTGAGTGCACCTTATTTCACTTTGGCACTTCAATTCATATTACAGGCAATATTGCACTATTCAAAATGGAGAAATAAAGAAAACAGAGTGCAGGTCAGGAGTCCGGATACAAGTCAAGGGCTCATGAGCTGCACCACTGTAACCACCTAATAGGGAGCTCCAATGAGGGGGAAACCCTCCAAAATATGTAGGTAATAGGAGTAGGTGATGTGTAGAGTCCCACAACGGGAAACCAACATCAGGAGAGCTCCACTGTATAAGAAATGAGGAAGGGAAGCCCTACCTTTAATCAATCTAAGGATAAAAAGGGATATGCAAACAAAAAGTATAACTTGTAAAAAAGGGAGATCTACTAAACGGTGCCCATGGGATCAATTGTCTGGAGTACTAGCCAGCATCTAAGTTCCAGTTCCCCTAGTGTCCGACTGACAGGAAGGTAGTGCAAACGAGGTTAGGGAGAGAGAAGAGGCACAGGGTCCCCAGAGAACAAGGGACCGGGTAATCAGGTCTAAACGCAGATGAAAAGCCTCACACAAAAAATAAATAATTAAATAAATCTCTCAATTCACCCTAAAAGTTATCTCGACACCGTAGTCTAACCACTAGTGTCTACCTGAACCAACTCTCTCTACTAAAGTTATAAATAAATAAATAAACACCTAAAAATCAATAAAAAAGAAGAGATAAGAGTGCGCCTAAAATATATGGTAAAACATATACACAATATAAGATAAAATAATAAAAGTAAATATAAAATGGTAATGATAGATATAAAATGGTACTAATACAATAGTCCAAAACACTTATCAAGAGTCCATAATGGTGAGATATTTTGAGAAGACAGGAAATCCTGAGACGTCAAAATGGAGTGGAATCTTCACAGTGATATACTCGAATCCAATAAGGAATATATGGAAGGGAAACAAAAACAGGAACTCCAATGGTACAGTATATCAGTGAGAATAAAATTCTAAAATAATAAAATAGCCGTACTCACACTCTCCAGAGCTAGATCCCAGCTCTGGTATTCAGCGCGTGAAGTGGAACAATCCCCACTCAAGGATATGGAAAGTAGTGTTTGATTGGAGAGTTTCTCCAATCTATAATAAAGAATTTAATTTGGCATAGAACATTTTATTGCCATTTTTCTTTTTATATTGTCTATTCATAATTTAATTATAATTTTATTTTATTTGTGCACCTGATTTACATCCATAAGGAACCCTAAGAATCCACAGGTGGGGATTATACCACCCAGGCATTTATACCGAGCAGTATAGACCTGCTCTATAGAATGTAAGTAATCTACTTTACATTCCTTTGCTTTATTGTATACAGAGAGCACTATATTTTTATTCTCTCATTTTGGGTTGAATAATATTTACTCGAACACGGAATTTGGGCCAGAAACTCTCCAATCAAACACTACTTTACATATCCTTGAGTGGGGATTGTTCCACTTCATGCGCTGAATACCAGAGCTGGGATCTAGCTCTGGAGAGTGTGAGTACGGCTATTTTATTATTTTAGAATTTTATTCTCGCTGATATACTGTACCATTGGAGTTCCTGTTTTTGTTTCCCTTCCATATATTCCTTATTGGATTCGAGTATATCACTGTGAAGATTCCACTCCATTTTGACGTCTCAGGATTTCCTGTCTTCTCAAAATATCTCACCATTATGGACTCTTGATAAGTGTTTTGGACTATTGTTTTATTACCATTTTATATCTATCATTACCATTTTATATTTACTTTTATTATTTTATCTTATATTGTGTATATGTTTTACCATATATTTTAGGCGCACTCTTATCTCTTCTTTTTTATTTATTTTTACCTTTATATTTAGGGGATTATAGGGATTCCCCTCTGAGAGGTGCTGCCTTCTTTATTTATTTGTGTGGCAGTAGTGCGCTGATTTTTTTCTTTTTTCGTATCATTTTAGTTTTACCTAAAAATCAATAACCATAGTGGTAAAAAAAATAAAAAAGTGCTACCAAGTGCAGAGATTGCAGTGTTCAAAACGCCATCGTCAGGAGCCTGTGCTAATCTAATATACAGAGAAGGGACTGGGACCCTCTACATCCCACAAAGCTGAAAGTCTGAGCCTAATAATTATTGGCTCCACACTTGTGAGTGCACTTTATTTCACTTTGGCACTTCAATTCATATTACAGGCAATATTGCGCTATTATTTGTCTCTTTCTATGTTTCATTGTAGGATAATACCTACTGTAAAGACGTACCTCTGAATGTGCATGTAAGATACTCCACCTTGTATATATTTGTGACACTCTTCTACTGAAGCCCAAACATGATTTGTGAACAAAAGGAATAAAAGTGTAGTTAGGTCCTCTATCCCGCTACACAAATAGACAAATGAGTAGTAGTTCTGCCACAATTCTGCTGCATGCTTATGGGATAAACTTTGAGTGAGTATTATATCTGAGTTTCGGAGGAGAATTTTCACTGCAGAAGCTGTAAAAACTTACGACTAACTGCAAATGTAGAGGTTACAATGCCATAATCTTTTTTTAATTCATTATTTTTACTCTATTTTGGTTTTTATTTCATACTGAGTACATCATGTAAATAAATACTTCAAAAACAAGATTGGTCAATTATAGCTTAGAAGAGTATCCCTTTATACTGATTGATTGTACCTTTTCAGAAGACAACTGTGATGTCAGAGTTCAGTTTTTTAATCTGTAGAAAAGGGAATCTTATTAAAGAATACTTTTATTTGTTGGGTTCATAACTGCTTTTATCACAGGTGCAACAGATTATCTTTGACGCTAGATCAGCTTTAATCGCTTTTAAAGTCAATTCATTTTAACAATACTGTCATGCAGAGTGGACAGTCACTGCTGTGTTCCACATACATTTCCTTTAACAGAAGCAAAATATTAAAATTGCATGACCGGAGGATGTTATAAAATGATATAAGGCACAGAGCTTCATTTAGCTATAAATATTAAATAAAGTTTACATTTCAGATCTGTCAAGTCTAACAGATTTTAAGTTATTTATTGGCTATTAGTTTTGCAATAATTGCTCAAGACAGCACTTACTTTTCTGATTGAAGTGCTTGGAATTTGACTTTTGAAAAGGCACTTACTGTAAATCTAGGGACACGGAAGGAGAAAATAATATTTTACACAGTTTACATAAAGACTGACCATATATTTTATGTAATACATTACATATACAATGAATAAAAAATATTGCAAAACAAATGAAGTTAAAATAATATGTTACATGCCATTTAAAGTATCCCTTGGTCCACTTCTTTGTGGGTCTGCTTGCTGCATACACACATTAGGATGAGATGCTCCAATTTAGGAACGCCTTATTCTGATCGGAATGGACTAATTTTATCCCATAATCTACCTAGCAGAGATTTATGTTATAGAGCACCGTTTAACGATCTGGGCTATGTTTTACATTCATCAGAGCAGTTACAGCACAGAAAGGAGAGACCCCATCAGTGCTGATGTTCCATTTGATTAATGGTTGAACAATTATTGTAATACACATGTCTGAAATTCAATTGCCTGAGCTAAAATGCAGCAATGGGTTTTCTATCAACATTTATTACTGTAATCTACGGCAGGACTGGTGTACATCCAACTGGGAAAAATGTAGAGCAATACAGGCCGAGAGAGAAATAAAGTGAAAGACAGATTAGATTTAATATTGTGATTGAGGACAGAGGATTCTACATATACTCATAGTAAAATAGTCTAGTGTCTATTTATTTAATTGTAATTCCACTTACAGTAAGTGAAAAGCATTATAAAGCGCATATAGGGATTCACTAGTTAGATAATTCACATAAAAAAAATTACTGCAGATTTCATGATATTTGCTGATATTGAAGTAAAAGGATATATAATTACAATATTTATTTATTACCAGCCTATTCTGCTCCAAGTACAATGGGTTGTTCTCGATGTGGATCAACAGCAAAAAACAAATTTGAGGAAGGATGAACTTGATGGACGCAAGTCTCTTTTCAGCTATGTTACTATGTAACTAATCAGAGAGACCCCAGAGTCTACTCCGTTGACTTTCTCTGGGAAAAGCAACCCCTCTGCACCACCTCCAATCTACAAAAGCTTGCACCAATCTACAAAATGCTCATTCTCTACACTGGTGACTGACTAGCAGTGGCCCTGGGGCGTGACATTCCTCAGCTGGGCCCAGGGCCCAGGGCCCAGGCACTCTAGGATATGGCAAAAGGTAAATAGATGCAGCGCTGGCTCCAAAAATGGCAGCAAACACTGGTACTTGCATACCCTAACAATCAGTGATGTATTTAGTATCTGTGTTGCCCTAGGCATGACGGAACTCGGGCAACCCTTAATTTAAATTTGCCACACCCCTTCCTGTCAATGCCACACCTCTTCCTGTTAAACGACTAACACACACTTTGACAGACACACTTTCAGATACACTGACATACACACACTGATTTGACACAAACAATCACTGACATCCACACAATCACTGACATACACACACACACTGACAGGCATACACAATCACTCAGACACACACACACACACGCACATTCACTGACAGACACTCACTCACAGACACACACACACAATCACTCAGACACACACACACTGACAGCCAGACACACACAATCACTTACTCAGACATACACTGACAGACATGGGCATCCGCAGGGCGGGGCAAGGGGGGGCACTTGCCCCCCCCTGGATTTTTCAGCTTGTTCTGCTGTTTTGTTGCTTGTTCTGCTATTTTTCGTGTAAGATTTAAGGACCACTATAGGAACCCAGACCACTTCAGCTTAAGTGGTCTGGGTTCCTATAGTGGTCCTTTAATCTTACACGAAAGATCCAGATGTATAATCGTTTCGAACCTATTAGGAATCTAAATTAAAATACTGAGACCCCTTTTTTAGGAAGGGGAAGGAGAGGACCACCAATGAAAACACTGATTCCTATGAAAAGACGTTATCGAGACATAGAAGAAGGAGAAATAGGAGGAAAGAGATTGGAGAGACCAAAAAAGAAAAATGATGAGGAGATAAGGATTTTTAATTTGTCTTAAAAGGTTTTAAACCCTGCTCATAACAGAATTCTTAAATTTGCACCTTGCTGCACTTTAAACAAATTTGATGCATATACAGATATCAATAAATTCATGAGAAAGTTATGTTTAAAAAATGTTTTAATAAAAGGGAAATTAAGGAAATAGAAAATACAAATGGTAATGAATTTATACATACTAAACTTAAACAACCATCTTCTTTTATCCTATTCACCTCAAATCAAACTCTTAAAAGTGTATGAAAGAGCACGTGTGAAGGATATAAAGGAAATTAAACCTAATAAAAGAAAAAAAATCTTACCATTCAGGAGAAAAAAAGCAATGGAAGACCTAAAAAAGGACTCCACAATAGTAATCAAGCCAGCAGATAAGGGGGGAGGTGTTGTACTTATGGATAAGGAATCCTACACGAAGGAAATTTATCGTCAGTTAGGAGATACGGATACATATGTAAAACTGGAAAAAAATCCACAGAATGATATAAAAAGGGAATTTGAAAGATATTTAGATCAAGGATTAATGAGGGGCCCATTAACTCAGGCAGAATACTCTTTTCTAAATGTATGTTCACCAAGAATACCAGTTATCTATATATTGCCCAAATTGCATTAGAATGCACAAGACCCCCCTGGAAGACCTATTGTCTCCGGGGTGGGATCATTATTATTCAATTTGTCAAACTATGTAGACGTACACCTTCAACCTATCGTTAAGACTAATCGATCATATTTGAATGTTTCAATGGGCTTGTTACAAGTACTTAAAGATTTTAAGTGGGAGACTGATTTTATTCTTGTAACGTGTGATGTCACTAGTCTTTATACTTGTATAGATCATCTTTTAGGCTGTGAATCCACACGTTTTTTCTTAGAAACCTCCACCCTGTACCCTGTGAGCCAGGTTGATTTTATTCTAGAGGGAATTCTTTTTATTTTAAAGAACAACTTTTTCTGGTTCGAGGGAGACTATTTTTTACAGCATATAGGGACTGCTATTTATATCAACAAAGAGAGTTGCCACTTTCGTCCGTGGTTGGATAATATCCCTAAAGGGCAATTCCTGAGATTGAGGCGGAACTGTACTGAGGTAAATATCTACGAATGCCAGGCAGACAACCTTAAAAAACTATTTTTGGAACGAGCATATCAAATAGATCGTCTAAATAAAGAAATTTAAGAAATTAGGGATATGGAACGTGAATCCCTACTGACATATAAAGAGAAAATCGACACAGAAGGTAGTGAAAAAATTCCCTTAATCTTTAATTATAGTAAAGACCATCAACAATTAAGACAAATCTTAAATAGGAACTGGCACATTCTCCAGCAAGACCAGGAAATCCAATCGTTTTTAGGAGATAAACCCAAAATAGTGTTCAGAGAAGCAAAAAATGTAAAACAAATACTGACTTCTAGTTACATTGATGTTTCCAATACTAACTTTCTAGAGTCATATAAAAAGACCAATAAAGGGTTTTTCTACTGTGGAACTTGTATGGGCTGGAAAATTGGAAATATAAAAATAAAAGAATTGAAAGTTTTAAATCCTGAGTGGGTGAGGACATATATAAAATTGAGTCATTTATAACCTGTCACTCCAAAAATGTGATTTACTTGCTCACGTGTCCTTGTGGTTTGCAATATGTGGGAAAGACATCTAGATGTCTAAAAACAAGGATAAGTGAGCACATCTACAATATTAGGAGAGGTTTTTTTAAATCACCATGTTTCCCTCCATTTTTAAAAATGTTATGGAGGTGACCCCACTGGACTCCAGTTTTTTGGCATCCAGATGATGCACAGCCATTGGAGGAGTGGCGGTCTGGAGTCAGCATTGAGCCGCAGTGAGATGAGGTGGATTTTTAACCTAGACACTTTCTCTCCTGGCGGTCTCAATGTCGACTTCGAGATGTCTGCACTCATTTAATTGCTTGTGAAAATATTGCCCTTTTTAAAAAAATTTTTTTTAATTTACTGTTTTTTATCTACCTATGGCACATATTTATGTTCCTCCTCTTTTTTATGTCAATTCCACTACATTTGTGAAACTTTATAGTTTTTTTAAAATTAGTCTCCCTTTTTAAAAAAAAATTCTATATTGTTTTATACTGATCTATTATTTTTACCCCCTACCAAAAAAAGGGGGGCAGTATATTTTTCATATCTTTTAGACATATATATTTTTTATATATTTTTTTATATTCCTCAGAAAGTTATACCCTACTGACTCTCCCAGTATTGTTGAGGTATATAGACTATTATGAATAATCATGTAATGGACTTTGTAATAACTTCTCTATTTTTTTCCCTCTTCTTTTAAGATATTATATAAAGAATTTGCATCATTTTGTTTATATGCACAGAGTATTTATTATTTGTGTAGTACAGATAACGATTATGTTATTTATAGTTTTGTTTTGTTGAGATTGCATTATACTATGGACGTTATTGCCTTACTCCAAAATGGAGAATTACATCTTTCCGGTAAAGCTGCTAGCAGATTGTGAACGCGGCGAAACCCGGAAGTACGGACGTGTACCATCATCTATCACGTGTCCGGAAGTTCACAGATGTGGAAGTAACTATGGGATGCCAGCAAAAGGCGCGAAATCTGATTTCCGACGGAAACCAGATATAAAGCAACATAAGTTAATGCCACTATGCCCCTTTAGAAAGACCATCCGGTCGAAACGCGTTAGTGTTAAGTGGACCTGTTATTATTATTTTTTTTTTGTATGCAGTTGGCTTATGCTGTATGCAGTTGGTTTATGCTGTATGTCTTCCTTATGTGAGTTTATCCAGTAAAGTTTATTTTATACTCTACATCTTGGATATCGCTATACATCATTGGCACCCAAAAGGAGACGTCACACAGTGAATCTCAAAGCCCGAATAAGCTGATTATTCAACTGCTGTTTAAGCCAGAGCCTGCTTGATGTGGCTCTGGAGATTGTGAGTGACCCATTACCTCTGTAATTGATCTTAACCTTGTTAATAACAGTATTATGCTATGATTGCTTTAAAGTTATTTATTTCAGATCAAGAGGTTCCTCACGTATAAGCATATATTTTACTATTGTTATGCACCCCCCACTACCTTTTATTTTCTTTTAATCACTTTCGTGCCTTAAGAGTGATTTTAGGCACTGGGGGTAGCTGCATTTATTTCTGTACACTATAGCGCCAATCCACCATCATTTTATCCTGTTAGGATTTAATACTCTTCTATCCCTCACACAACCTGCACACCCAACACACACACACACACTGTACCCCTGACATACACACTGCACCCCTCATGCACAAACTGCCCCACATACACACACACTGCACCTCTCACACACACACTACATCCTTTACAAACACAATGCACCCCTGTGCACACACTGCATCCCTCACACACACACACACACGCACACTGCACCCCTGTACACACTCATGCACACTGCACCGCTCACACACACATATTGCACCCCACACACACACACACACACACACACACACACTACAGCCCCTATCCAGGCAGACCCCAGGTAAGTTGTCACACTGTTCTTAAACAGTTTGACTACTTACCCTGGGACGGCACTACTGGCACCATAACCAATACAACATAATGTAGTGGTTATTGTGCCTGGATTGTTTCTTTAAATAATCTACCAGTGCCACTCCAAAGATTAGGGGCCCAGTATATGCTGCATCACTGTACATATATACAACCTAGAAATTTTTTTGAATTGGGTTGCCTTGGAAAAATATTGAAATATTAACTGCTATATACCCAATGGAAAATACGGAGGAACATCCTTTACAAGTTATATCAGTAAACGGGGATTATACCGCTTTAGGATCTTACTAAGAGCTGAATTGGAAGCTCTTTGTTTGTGAGTGCATTTTATTCTCTTTTTATATACACACTGGGATTGTTCTATTGAGTTGCACTATTGTATCTCCTTTTTATGTATTCCATGTGAGATGCATATACTGTGAAGGTAACGTAAGACGTACCAGTGTCCCTCCAAAGACCTTGTTGTGATTCTTCACCTAATATTCTGTGACAAGGATTATATTGTCAGCAGCAGATACAATCGAGCCAACAAACGGCTCCTTGTTTGTGAGTGTATTTTTATAAAAATAATTGCTTCTGCACTGGTTACAAACAATATCACACTATTGTTCATTCTCTCTGTTATTTATTGTCGTTTCATATCTTGGATCTTATCTTAATTAGTGAAATATATTGAACTACCTACTACAACTACCACCGTTATCAAGGGCTTTATAGATTCCAGTTACTACTACTTGCATACAACTGTATTCCTTAGCAATACCAATACTGTCTAGTTATTTGGTGCAACCTGTTTTCTTTTTTCTCTTCACTCCAGGATACGGAGCTGCAGGAACTTGCCTCGCCGTTGGAAATCATCTAGTAACCTACTTGTGCCTGGGACTTTTTAACACTGTTCCAGCTTTACTAGTAGTCTAGAAGCCAAGGCACCTGTTGTGTTGGCCCCAGTTGAACGTTTAATAATATTTTATTTTATTTGCAGAGTTTGATTTAATTTATGTTTGTAAATAGCCCATAATATTTCTATTATAAAATGAGGTATTATTCTCTGTATGCGTACATATTGTTCATAATTGCTGTTTGAAATGTTGTCTATTGTCTAATCTGATTGTCGAGCATTAGTACAAGTAAAAAATAAACAAATAAAAAGTAGTAAGTTAAAGAAAATTTAAAAAACATGTACATACGTTTTGGGTGGTGAAGGAGTTTAGGGGGATTTAA